TCCATCTTGTTCATCTAACTAATGACCAAGAATTGGCAGCTCCAGTTGTGAGTCGACTATTAGCCCACAAGTTCAGGGCACCTCCTGCTGATGAAACAATGATCACCAGCTGAACCTATTGTTACACAGAGCTGAATACTGATGGCTTTATAACCAATAAAACTGTTCATCGGAAGAGTCTGGAGACGTAAACAATGAAATTCTCCATTTATTGTGTTTTCTCATTCTATCAGCATCTGTTTTTAACAGGGGGAGAGATTTGTGCGGGGAAATAAAAAATGAAATTTCACTTTTTTCTCTCTGACAATAAAGTCCTAGACAGATGACAGCTGTGGACACACAGAGTGCACACTGCATGTTTTATCGCCTTCACCCATAAATAAAAAACGCAGAGTGGGAGAAATACAGTCAAAATGTACAATTTATGGCAACGGGCACAGGAGGGAGTCTGGAGATTTCTTGGACAATATGAAAATAAAACTGCAATAAAACTGCACGGGCCTTGATTGTGGTCTATGGTGAGACGTGGAGGGCCTCCAGCACAGCTAACTTTATTACTTCATCTGAAAGAGCAAGAGAGAGTGAGAGAGACATCAACAGATTCAGAGACCATTACAGTCAAATCTTTTTCCCTAAGCGGCCACAGTCTCCATCAGACCCTTTTCACCTAACATCCAGGGACACAGCGGAGGGCAAAACCTCCTCAATTCAGTTTACCCAGCTTTTTATTTATGCAACCAACCTTTTTTCGGTTAACATAAATCTTTACAACATAATTTCATGGCAGCCATCATAAGTACCATTAAACTGATGGTAGTTACATAAACATTGGGTGGAAAAGAAGAATTAATGCTTTCAAAAGTAAAATGGATTCTTGTTTATGCAAGTGGTTGGTGTCCTTATGATGAACGCCAACTGAACAAATAATTTACCGCCATTTTCATTTACCACAACAGCACAGCACCCAACTATGTTGCTCTAAGTATTTCAGAAAGTGAGAGAGCCATCTTTCTGGTCAGAAGAGGGGGAGCAAGGACAGCAGAGCGAGAAGAGACACATTTTTTGAAGTGATTAGAGCAAAGCTAGGAGAGGAGAGAAAACGGGGGCCACTCAAGCAAAATGCCCCGGGACTCCCGTGAAGATTAAACAGTCAAGGGTCTCGTCTCTTCCTCATGCTCTCTCAAATGAAAATAGCCTATTGTAGGGTGCTGCATCTTTCTTGGCTGGAGCTGTGCATCAGATCTAGGGTTTCACAGAGCATACAGGGGGACCGGCGAAACCGGAGACAATAACAACAAATATGGCCTTGTATTTTTAGGTTGTGATTATAAAGCCCGTTTCACAGTTTAATACTCCAGGGAAACCAAACAAACTTGGTTGTTTAAAGAAACCAGCGTCCAGAATTGGATCAAATCTCGGCTTCTCCCAAATGTCCTTGAAAAATGAAAGAAGAGGGCACATAAGGGGACTAAAGTACATGGAGAGACTGCAGATTACATGGCCTCCAAACTGACAGATTAATGAGATAGACTATGCACAATGTCGTCTCTTTATACTAAGTAATATTTTATTCCAAAATTAAAGAAAACACTAAAAATAAAGTTTAAATTGAGTTTATTTTTATACACTTTATCTCTTTTGTATTATGATTCTCACTTTTTTCTTTCTGCTTTTTACTATCACCTCATTTCTTAGACCCTTAAAAAGTCTGGTCACTAATCATTAAACAGTGCTTTAAAACATTTAAACTAACGTGAGGACATTTTAGTAATGAAATATGACATTTACCTATTTATATTTGTGAGTTTTTACGTTCAAAATATGGTGCAGTGTAAGCCAAATTATTTAATAATTATTATTATTATTAGTCTCATTATTATTACCTCTTCCAACTACCAGAAGTACCAGTACAAAACAGGGCTGAGAGATATGGTAAAACAAATCATAATTTTCTATTATTTTAAAAGATATTACGATTGTGATATGATTCACGGTTAGTTGGAATGATCATTCTTGCATCACAGTTTTCATTTTCACTGAAAAAAAATATTAAAACCATGTGTCATTTGCTGGGGTCTGTACAAAACAAATGTGTTTTCTTACAATTGGAGAACAAGATTTGTAGGCCATGGCATCTCTGCAGCACTACAGTACTTCATTACAACACTGTTTTGACACACATTTTACCTTTATCAAAACAATATTGCAGCTTGTGCAACATTACACTTGGCCATGACGCAATTTCATTAATATTTTTGATTAATTGTGCAGCCTTAATACTAAATAATAAATATTTGACAGTTAGAATTATTCCAAAAAAAGTAACTTCAAATGTATCTATACCTTTGGACTGAATACTCTACACTGCATGTAAAGGCCTCTACATATCCTATGACTTCATGTGCAGACATATTTTTCCTATGTTGTTATTTTATACTTTGTTGCCATCTGCTGACCAAACAGAGATACTGACTAACCCAAGTACTACAGTACTTGTATTGAGGTGTGTACCATATTTTCTGTTGAAATGGCAGGAGGATGTTTATAACAAGTGCTGCTATACAAGAAACAATATTCTGCTAGCAGATAATACACCTAGAGGTAAAATCTTGATATATTCATTTTATAAGAAAGATATGCCTGTACAGTGCATTATGGGATGTGCATTTTGAATGGCCTCCTTTCTATCTTCTTTTAGGGCTTCTTGTGTACATGTGCAGAAAGGTATTAAGGCCTACTTGCTTTCAAGTGTACTTCTGTTATTAACAGAAATTAAGAGGTTTGTGCAGAGTCCAATACAGACATTTATTGGCTTAATTATGCAAAAGTAAACTATTTCCACCTTGCATCCTCTGAATACCCGCCAGAAAACTGCTATTTACGATGAAATCCAATCACACATCTATAATGTATATCCAACTGTTTGATATCACAGTTTATCTCCAAATGTATCACAAGCCGTGCTAATATGCTTAACATATAAACTTGACTCAAAACTATACAAACCAGATATTTTTACTAGCCAGAGCAGGTGTAATTTATAACATGGTTCCGTCCAAATTAAGAGCCCCCAGTAAGCCATACCCCAGGGTAAACATTTGAAACTGGTAACGTTAATGCAGGCAGCTGTTATTTATTAGTTATACTTGATGATTGGTTGGTTGACATCTGCTATAACCTTTACATTGTTGGTAGCTATATTGTTACCTTTGGCCAATAATAATGAAATTACATTATGAACAATGGAATCATATTTAAGAAGGTTCTTATAATAAATATGATCCACATTTTGTAGTAAAATTTAGCATACCTCCACTTAATTAAACTACTGGCACTGCTGTAGTCTTAGTGAGGGGATTACTTACTTAGCTGACTGAAAGAAAGGGGACATCTCTCCAGCTGGTCCTGTAGTAGTCATTCCTTCTCATCTGTTCTGGAGTAAACACATCTTCTCTGTCTTCATGGAAATCCTGGATGTAGAGTCTCAGTTTTCCGCATCTTGTGGGGAGGCTGATGCAATATTTATAATCCTGAACTGAAGAATTGCAGGAGACTTTTATCAGCCCACCGCCGGAGGCATGAAGTTGAGGATGCTGACTCCATGTGTCTTCCCTCATCCTGTATGTAAAGAAGCTAAAGCCTGAAGTTGAGGTAGCTGACTCTTCATGGCTGTCCTCACAGTTCCACCTGTGCCTGTTTGCACTTACCTGCTCTCTGTAGCTCTCGTCCCTGCTCCTCTTTGCGGAGGAGCAGAGGCCTGAGGTCGGGGGAGCGGACTCTTCCGACCTTTGAGAAATTGAGGGTAGACCTTTTTCAGGTTCTTCCACTTGCTGACCCAGGAAGCTCCTGATGCTTAATAGGTACCTGTGGGTGCCTGACCATCAGCTGCTGAGGAACAGCATCACAGGGAGACACCAGCGGGACCGGCAACAGGAGCACCAGCAGTAACAGGAGGATACACTTGTTGCTGTCCCTGCACAATGTTTTCTGGTGAGAACTGCTGGATGAGAGGGGAGCGAGGTCTGATGTTATCATCATCATCTTCAAAATCCTCCTCCTCCTCAAACATGGAGTCATATCCAGAATCTATGCTGTCAGACCAGTCCTCATCATCATCATCATCATCATCATCATCAGCGTCTTCATACCCCACCTCATTGATCACCATTGGTTCCTCAAATTTATCCTCACTGTCAGAGGGAAGTGGGGTAATGCTGTCACTTTCACCCACAATACCAATCTCAACCTCACCTTCCTCTTCCTCAGTCCTGTCCTGTAGAATGCCACATCAACGTATCTTGAACCTTGACCTACCTCTGACTTCTCGGCTATAGTTTTACTGTTATGCTTTATGAAGTCCTCTTACTACAAAAACTTGGGGATCTTAAGGTTAGGACACGCACCAATATGTTTTTAGGAGTTTCACCTATCTCAGACGGTTAGGAACTACTTTACTCATTGCTTAGCATCTGGCTTTGGCAAAATCAGCATTTTTTTTACCCTGATAGATCACTCACAACAAGTCGAAAGCCATGACTACATTGGCCCTGAGAGTTATAAAACGGAGCGAAATAGGAAATGAGGACACGAGAGGATTTGAAAATACAAAGAAAAGGAAGCGAAGCAAAGTGTCAAGTGATTCCAGTCAGACAATGAGGAAAGAGGAGAAGTATCTTGTTGGTATGGTAGCAGTGACACAAACGGATATTCAAGGATCCACATGAGGTTGGAAAGTTTGTAGGAGGAAAACTGGGAGATGTGCGATAGATCAGGATAACAAGGAGTGGGATGGTTATCATTGAATGTGTGTCAAAGCGAGAGAGAGATAAAGCCCTGGAGATTCATGAATTTGAAGTGGAAAAGTGTTCACTCCAGCAGGTGGCGTTAATGCAACGTGTCTGGACCGCCATCAAACTGTGAAGAAGGTGAAGAAGAAGAAGAAAGTGAAGAAGAAGAAGACTACAAATCCCGACGAGCAATACATTCATTGCCATAGTAGCGGGAAGTTGGTTTGTGTTTACCAATTAGGCTAGACTGTGTAAAACAATGGACGGCCAGAGTCGAGTCTTCGCTGCGATACTACCGGCTGCTGGTCGGGAATTAGCCGGTAATGAAAATGAGCAGGGACTCGAAGTGCGAGCAGTTACTCGTCCAGGACCCAGTAACCGGGTTAGGGAGGTCCAGGTGACGGGAACAGCGGAGGTTTGCTGCCCGGCGGACCGAGTGTCGGTGCGGGTCAGTGTGGGCAACAGCAAAGAGTCAGTCAACGAGGTCACCAACAGCGTGTCACGGCGACTTGAATACATTTTACAAACCGTCAGGTGAAAATATAACCTAGTTTAACACTATAACTGTATAGCTAACAATAACGCTAGGTTAGTATTCGCTGCGGTAACGTTAACTTCAACGTTAAATAGAAATGTTACAACTAAACTAGTGCTGTTAACTGAGGCATTGAAGTATTCTGGTAACAGCTAACGTTAGCTATCAACAAAATGACACTGAGTAGCTTGCAACTGTAGCTGTCAATAAAATACAGTAGTGTAGAAAGTAGGCTACGACATGTCCCTCAGAAATGTGGTGGAATGTAACTGGAAGTGTGAAGTAGCATACAATGGAAACTGCGCAGTTCTTATGGAAAGGTTCCTTGATACTTAACCAGCACTGGTCGTAGGACTATTGAGTAACTAGCCTACTCTATACAGTCATGGGTAACGTTAGCACTGAAGGGCCATAATTTATTCTAAGTAGGAGTTGTAGTTGCACTAGTAAAAGTGGTAATTGATGCACCAATAATTACAAATTGAAACCATATGGAAGGCAAATGGGCTGGCAGCCCTGTTAGCTTTCTAATTGGATGCTCACTACTTATTTTGTGTGAAATATATTTTAATTTAGATTTTAAAAAGGTCAATTTGCTAATTTCGCCTTGTTCTAAGTCTCTTGAAGTACACCATGATTGCAATGAATGAAATACTCTTTAATTTATTCATTCTGCTTAGACAACATGGTGTTAGTGACAACGACACCACAGTGAGGAGGTTTCTCCATAGAGAGGCAGACCAGTATCACATGGATGCAGAGGTGGAGTATTTGGAAAAACATGATGCTGTTACCCTTCACTAACTCTACAGCACATGTGTGTGTTGAGTTATACATGACAGTGTAACAAAATGTGCCCACAGGTCGTGGTCACTTTCTCAGACTTTGAGAAGATGGAGCGTGTATGTAGTGTCCTGCTGGAGAAGCTGGACAAGAGTGTTAATGTGGGAACACCGCAGTACTACCACAGTGCTGAATGCCTGAGTCAAGTGAGGTATACAAACATCTCAGCATCACTGTACCTGTCTAGACGTCTCCTTACTTTGATGAAATGCAGCAATTTTAACTTGTGTGTGCTCATCTGTGCTCTAGGCGGCGTGCATGTGTGTCAGCAGTTGAAAACGCTCAGCAGAAGGCCTGCGAAGTCAGTCAGCTCCTGGGGCAAACTCTGGGACACCCTCTATTGGTCAGAGAGGAGGAGACAAGGGAGTGGAAGAATGAAGATGAGGAGGATGGGGGCAGAGGCCAGGGCGCTGCACCCCTACCTCACCTTCCCTGTGCACCCACAGTCACCGCCTCCTCACGGGTGTCTGTGTCCTTCAGCCTCAGAGACAGAAGCAGGAAAAAACTCTGAAGACATTTGTCATTGACTAATGAAACCACAGACCGTTATGTCACATTTAAAATTATTTTATTGCTCAGTTGTAGTGGCTGAATGAATGTCCAGTTTTTTTCCTACCTCAGACAATACAGTATTATAAATGGGAAAACTACATAGATTTCAAAAGCAATTTTGCCAGATAAAATGTCTTTTATCTGTTTTACTGGCACATTAAATTAAAATACTGTATATTTGTACATCTCAAAGAAATAAAAGTTAGGACAACTACGAGCTATACTACAACATTCATAAGCGAGTCCCGTTGTTACTTCAAATCCACATAAGACACGCTCACATTGAGATCCAGCAATGAGGGAAAATGATCTTTGATCTACTCAAATTTTGGGCTATACAACTACCAGTGGTGGAATGTAACAACTGTATGTAACTAAGTACAATTTCTCAATTATTGTGCTTAAGTCAAATTGTGAGGTACATTTTGGAAGTAAATATTGTACTTCTTACTCCACTATATTTAGTTGATAACTTAAGTTACTAGTTACTTCGCAGATTCAGACTATCAATGGAAAATATAATTTATGATGTATTATAGGTGAAACCTGGCAGGATATAAAGTAGTTCAAATTAGCCCCACCTTTACCAGCTGTAAAATAATATACAATATTCTGTAATGCCATTCTGCAAAGAATACTATTGATCATTAAGTTTATTATTAAGTAATAAGTATATTATTTGATAGTAGTACTTGCATACTTTTGGGTCCCACACCTGACGCGCCTTCCAGTCTGCAGGTGCAGCTGCGCAGTCATGCCTCAGCTCTCGGCCACCGCTGAGGCAGACTGGAAGGCGCGTCAGGTGTGGGACCCAAATCTAAAATCAGTCCAAAGTTGACTTGTAAGCCATTTCTATAGAAGAAGTCACACACACATAAGTTCCGGTACAGAGCCCTTTCTACGGTGAACGGACACTTTAGGACAATAGCCTGTGTTTTGTATTAGTGTGATTCACCGCAGAATGTTAACATAGTTCAGACTAAAAACTTGATAAACAACATGGCGCTACAGTAGCTTCAAGGAAACTAAAGTCAAACGATGTACTTGTCACATCGTATTGGGCTACATTAGAAGCCTAATTATATCCCTTACCTCGTATTAAAATCCAAAGTCTTTTCTGCTACTATCTAAGTATGATTTCAAGAGCAGGACTTTTATTTGTTAGAGTATTTCACACTGTGGTACTGCTACTTTTACTTAAGCAAAGTATCTGAGTACTTTTTCCACCACTGATGACTAACAGGTCAACATGTCTGAAGAAAATATTGGCATTTTGTATCTACTCATTACAACTCGTGATTGACAGATTTCAGTAGATTTCTTTGACAAATGTAGAAACTTGAGACCAGATTTGTCTCTCAGACACATTTTGAAAAGTCAGAAACACCCACAGAGAAGCAATAGCCAAACTTCCTCCTGTGGTTTTAACATCGCATATCCCGTGTCGCCTATATGTTCACGCACAGCCAAGCGTCAGTCAGGCGTCCACTTTGTCGTCCTCGGGATAGATCTCTCTGAGCCAGGGCTGCATGACGAACCGCTCCCCATCAAAATGTGTGAAGTAATTCTCCAAGGTGGGAATGTCCGGCTAGAAGCATCCAACAGTGAGTCCCAACATGTACTGAATGTGTGTGTTGATGTGCTGTGATTCTCAGTACATACCCTCATCCCAGTGATGCGCTCAAGTTGCGTCTGAGGCAAGTATCCAACAAACAGAGAGGAGGGTCCAGGCCCGCTGAACAGTACTTTATAATGAGGGGTCTTCTCTGCTTTGGTGCCCTGCATGCATATACAGTCACAGAACTGGCTCATTTTTTTACATTCCCACACTGCCAACACTTGAGTTTGAGAAAGGGAACTTAAAGAGAGGGACAAACAAGTAGGCTTGAAGGACTTTCAAGAAGCAGTATAGGTGTGTAGAGCCATGGCTGCTAACCTCAAAATTGGAATACATTTTGTCGACCCACTCTGCAGGGGCTCGCATCTCAGGGTCCCAGCTCACCACCACCCCAACCATATGACCCTTCCTCTCCATCACCACCTCTCCAACCCGCAGAAACACATACGGAGGACGAGGGCTCCGCGCTGTCTTTGAGGCTGCAGGGACGAAGAAAGACGAGAAATTTCAGTTTATCCTAAGAACGTGGCAGTGTATATTGTGGGTTACTAAAATAAGCAAGCTCCAGATGATTGATCTCACACAAAAAAAAAACTTTCCATAGATATAGTAGATAGAAACAAACCTCCAAAGTATCCCTCGTCATTATCATAAAGCATGGACTCTACGGCAAGCGACTCTTGTGGCACTTCCTGTCCCAAGCCAACCAAAGACCTTGGGAAAGCAAAAAAGCAAAAACATTGGCAGTCTGTTGTTATAAGAAGTCATCACTCTTGGGATCGGGGAAACATCCCATACTCACTGGACTTTGGACATCTGCTGGCTTGCCCAGTCAATCCATGCAGTGCCATTGATGAAAGATTTCTTCCACTCTTTCCAAATTCGAAGCAACCTGAAACACCATGTCTGTTGATTAATTATAAACCAAAACACTAGGTTATTCCTATAATGATGTGCTAGTTTCACTATAATATTTCTATAGGGACTAGGATGCATATTACTTCATTTATTAAATTACAAATATTTTCCCCAACTCTTGGATTGTATCGCCTTCACACAAAGTGGAGATGCCCTACACTTATGCGTCTCTGAGAAAGAATAGCCCCTTTACGCACGGATCCTACCGTGTGGTCGCGTGGTAGCGCTGCACCGGCGTGGAGCCGCTCCACCGGGTGATGATATACTGCGCGGGCAGAGCGGAGAGCAGCAGCGCGAGCTGCAGCACCGCGGTGGCCGAGAGCTGAGGCATGACTGCGCAGCTGCACCTGCAGACTGGAAGGCGCGTCAGGTGTGGGACCCAAATCTAAATCAGTCCAAAGTTGACTTGTAAGCCATTTCTATAGAAGAAGTCACACACACATAAGTTCCGGCACAGAGCCCTTTCTACGGTGAACGGACACTTTAGGACAATAGCCTGTGTTTTGTATTAGTGTGATTCGCCGCAGAATGTTAATATAGTTCAGACTAAAAACTTGATAAACAACATGGTGCTACAGTAGCTTCAAGGAAACTAAAGTCAAACGATGTACTTGTCACATCGAATTGGGCTACATTAGAAGCCTAATTATATCCCTTACCTCGTATTAAAATCCAAAGTCTTTTCTGCTACTATCTGCCAAACATTGCGTCTGAGAATCTGTATGCGCCTGGAAACCAGAACAGAGTGCCACGGTTTCACTTCTGTTTTATTTACATATCCTTAACCACACGCGCGCACATGCCGCTACCACCTGTGTATTTAAATTTCTCATAGAAAATAATAAAAAAAAAAAAAAAAGACCAAACAGGTAGTCTGCCCAATCGCTGCAGCCCACGGAGAAACCGGCGAACCTTTAACTGCTCGCCACGTCAGAAAGAGCCGAGCCTGTTTGCCCCGGGCGGGGAAGTGGTTTTTCAACCAGTGACGCTTAGGCAATGCAAGTTGAGAGAGTTGTTAATTCATTCAGCATTACAGTAGGAAATGCTACAGCCTTAACTGATCTGTATCTGTCGTCTTATTTTTGTATTACTAGGTTACTGTATTTTAGGGATACTACTGACACTACTGCAACTTAAACTCTTTATGTGGTGAATAATATGAATTTAGGTTTCAAACAAAAAAACTAAAACAGTGAGGATGTTTACACAATCAACACCAGGAAGGAAAAGTGGATATGGAAACACAACTGTTTATTTACTTAAAATATTGGTATGAACTAACAGGACAGCAGTACTCCCCTACACATACATTCTAGCCATATGTTTCTTTTTTGCATTAATTCCTTTATATATAAAAAGTATCCAAACTAACAAAGACATCCTCTTCAAATCAGTTTACATGAAACACCCCTTTCCCCTTCCCGTTCAGTTTCTTTCTCATCCCACGCCCCCCCCTTAAAACGTCCCAACAAGGCTTCCTGGTGGCTCACATGCAGCCACTTCACACAAACACAGATACACACACTGTGACCTTTAACCTCTGATCAAACACCTTGTCAGAGGCCACAGACAGCACAACTCTGCCACACATTAGCACAGGCCTGTGGCAAATGTGTGTGTACATGAGTTCCAAAATGCAGTGCGGGCCATGTTAAGTAAGAGAGCTGATCTGAACTGCTGAGTCAGCATTTTGAACTTTTCCCCAATAAAAGAACGTGAACTTAAATCCTAAAACATAGTGAAATCCACACTGTAAAGAACTGTGGAAATTAATGAACACACCAATTCTTGCTTATGAAGTGGCGGCTTGATTTTAAGGCCCCTTTGAAATCATTAGAGGTTTTAAGGTAACCTGACCAGCAATACGATATCAGTTCTTTTACTTTGACAGGTTTGATAAATACAGGTAGTGTGGGTGATCTGATGGGGGGTGGGGGGTAGAATAAACAAGTTTGATGTCTCCTTTGATATAACATCTGCATTCCCACTTTGACTACTTTTCATTGGGAAATCAAACGGAAAGTAACGCACATCCCTGCCGATCCCCAGGCCAAGGGCAAGGTTAGCCAGTCCTGATTCCATGCTAAAATCCGGCAAACATTTGGGATTCCTAAGTATTGTGTTTTTAAGTTGGCTCAAGTAAACATTGTGTTTAAGAGTGAGCTCATATCTTAGGTTTGAAAAGCCTGGGTCTAAAATACTCTGATGATAACCTGTGCGTATACGTAAATACGACTATTTGTGATTGAGATAGAAAACAAATCCCTTACCTTTATGTGCCTATGAAGAGTTTCTTTGCCCATAAAATATATTGTTTTGTGGGCAAAAATCTTTATCTTCCTATCTTTAACAGGACCCCAACAATAACATTTATTTTCATGCCAACAGTCATTTATGAATGGAAGGTGTCAGTGTTTCAGGCTGTCTCAATCTGTGATAAAACTCTCCATATACACAATATAAACAAATATTTTGTGAAGTAAAATATAAGACAGACTGACTGAAAAAGAAGTTGTTGTATCCTCAAGTGCGGGGAGTAATATGACACCGTTCTAACGCCACAGATCTAGCCACTGAAATACTGTTCTGTATGGCAGGGACACAGACAGAAAACTCACTGTGGAGACAATAAAACTGCTTCGGAAAATAAACACATTCAAAAGCCATGTTCTAAAACTTCAGTGCCGATAGACAGAATTTGGCATTGACAAATCCATAACAAAAAAACAATGATAAACAGATGAAATATATGTTCGATAATATGTGACAGACCGATGAAATGAACCAGGTGTATATAGATGCTACCGTCCAGTTCTGCCCAGTCGAACCCACAACACAAAGTGGCTGATTTTGGCTTTCACCTGCTCTGTGCTGGGGCGAAAACAGATATATCAAAAGTGGAGGCCGGCATCTTTATAAAAACAGTCCATTTAGTTGTGTTTACAGAGAGAGAGAGTGACATAATGTGTTTGTCTCCAGTCAGATTATTCATTTTTCAGTATTTTCTCTCTCTCTTGTATGAGAGGTCCAGTCCAGTCCCCAAAGTCCAGTTCTCTGAACCCAGCGGCGAGCAGAACCAGGAAGTCCAAAAAAATATATTAGAAAGAGGAAAAAAGGCCCCAAAAGCAGAAACCAAGGATTCAATATGCCAGAGTAGCGAAGGCACACGATCAGAAAGATGAATACAAGACTTGTCTCTCTCGGCTTTCTGTCCAAATTGAGTCCGATCCAGTTTGATCTGGCTCGATCCTGTTTGCTCCAGGCATGAGAAAGTGCTAGAACATGCGAGACAGAATTGAGTGTGTGTGTTTGTGTGTGGTCACCATAGAAACATATCAACATTTAAAAAGTTCATTTTTATATGTTACCAATTTTAAAATACACAGGGTTACTCCCTACGACTGCATTGATAACTGGTCTGTGGTAAGTGCATCTCAAAGCTAGTCACCCAAAGCTCCACTGGCTGTACCTTAGGTATAAACTGACGATAGGTTGGTTATAGGATAATATATTGACATGAATAATGGTTTTACAACAACAGTAAAGTCTTTTTTCAACTGCTATAAATACATTTCTTTGAGAGGTTTCACAACGATCAAACTGTATGCCACTGTTTGTACGCTGAAAGTGAATGACGCACTCAGTTGTGTTATAAAAACACACACACTCCTTCAATTACACACGCTCGCAGAGTCAAAACTTAGTTCGTACACATACAGGCACATGTACTTTGCAGGGCAGAGGCCAAGCACACTTACATACATACACATGCACACACGCACACATACACACCATAGACATAAAGGCACAAGGTATTGCTAATGTTGAGTACGCATTGAAACATGATCTGTCTAGACACAGTAATGACCCCTTTCACCCAAACGTCCTTTTTCTCCTCCTCACAGTAAAAACAGCTTCTAGGGAAAAAAGATGCTTTTTCGTTCTTATTAACATGCAAAAACAAAAACACCCACACACACCAACAGTAAACAAAACCTACAGATCTACAGTACCAACAAAAGGTACACCATTTGGTATATTAGCGCAGACAGACACGCTCAGGTCAGCCAATATGTAAGACTTCCAAAACAGAGAGCCGATCATCATGTACAAATCTTAGAAAAAGCACAGAGGGGGTCGTATAAAAAAAGATCAGGAACAATGAAGGGGGGGGGGGGGGGGGGCAGGCCAGTGGTCTCTAATCTGTCGTAGGCCATCAAGTCAGAGACACTTGAGAAGTCCTCAAAAATAGTAAGAGTGAGTAAAGATACATCCAGCTCTCCTCATGATTTTTTCAAGTACTAAAACTACTGTTTTGCCCGGTCTGACGCCAACAGTGTTTAAGGTGGTGAAGAGTAGGTTCACCAGAAAAAAGGAGCGAGTCACAAGACCACCAGCATCGGAGTCCACGAGCTCCTGTGGGATCCAACATGGACCAATAACGTGAGAGGAGTTGGGACAAATGAACATGCGTTGTCAGAAAGCCATCGGTTGGCGTGGCGATGTGCTTACTGGGCCAAGAAGAAGGAGGAGTGGACAGGTAACTGCGCTGTTGTGTCTCTCCGTAGCCACAGCTTTGAATAGCAGCAGCTGGACTAGCAGCTCCCCAGACACACACACACACACACACACACACACACAAACACACGCACACAAATGCATACAACACCAAGCATGACTTTCCCAGCTCGGCCCCCCTACTCCTCCAACGCATTAGCTAAGAAATCTCAGCCAGATTTCTTCTCCGTCAAGGCAGTCAGCCTCCTCCTCACACCCTGTGTCTGCTCTGTTGTCACCGTTACCAGCCTATCAGGTTGGCTTTGGCCTTTTCTGTGAGCTTGCGGACACGTCCCTTAGAGGAGGTGCCAAAGGTGATTGATGAGTCCTCAAACAGCAGCTGCCTCTGCTCCTCCTCAGAGTCCTCCTCGACGTACCAGGCAGATCGCCGTCCCTGGTTACGTGTGCGCATCGACCCACCTGCCTCCTCCCCTGCCTCCTCCTTTGGAGATTCCTTCCGATTGGATCGCTGAGGAGTAGTCTGGGGAGGAGGCGTGAGCTCCTCATTGGCTCTCCTGCTGCTCCTCCTCAGTGGCGAGGGCTCAGGTGACTCCGCGGGAGGAGTGGCGTCATCGGTTCTCACCACCCGGGGCCGGCCTCGCCGTCTAGGCGTCGATGTCATGCCCGAATCCGACAGCACAGATGTTTCCTGCGTGGAAGACATCCCGCCTTCGTCCCCTGTCGATTGGTCAAGCTCATCGTTAGGGGTGGAGCTCCTGCGGTTGCCGCTCCTTCTCATGTCCTCCAGCTCCTGTTTGCTCTTCCTGCCTCTCTTCTTGCCAGGAGGGCGGCCTCGGGGTCTGGAAGGGCTCCCTGGAGTCGCAACTTCTGGAGGACTCACTGGTGGGTCCACTCTGGATTTCCGTCCCCTCTTCCCCACACCCAGGGTCACATGACTGCTGTGGCCATTCAGGTGGACTGTGCTCTGAGATGAAGGGCTGGCAGGAGAGCCTGGCAGGGAAGGACATTGATTTATAGGACAAAAGGAAGAAAGTACATATCAACTGCAGGCAGGTGACGTATTTTATGACTTGAATCATAAACCTATGCATTCTTTGTGATCTCTTACCAGGTGTGTGTCGTACAGGAGTCCTGAGTTTCCTCCGGGTGCTTCCTCCACTGCTACTTTCTGGGGCTGGAGAGGGTGCCACCTTTTCAGGAGCTGGTGGCGCTGATGCTGACACAGAGTTATGAGCCCTCAGTGAGCGAGTAGACTCTGTCGATGGCAAAGAGATATGTAATACAGGAAAGAAATTATGGAACATGTTACATGTGGTAATTTTTGATACTAGACTTTTGCTTGTCAAGAGTTAAATGAGAAAAATATCGATACCATGTATGTACGGTAAATATGAAGCCAGCAGCTGGTTAGCTTAGCATAAAGACTGGAAACAGAGGGTAACGGCTAGCCTGGCTCAGTCTGAAGGTAAAACAATCTGTCTACCAGCACCTCTGAAGATCACTAATTAACACATCTCATTTAATTCATACAAAAACTGAAGTGTAAATACACTTCTGGGTTTACAGGGAATTAGGTGCAGGACAATTTCTTGGCTGGGCACAATAACTCCCTGGAGTCTTGTTGTTACCACGTTGTTGCCAGGCAACTCAACTAACCAGCTCCTGGCGGAAGTTTTATATTTGGCATACAAACATAAGAGTGTCATCAATCGACTAATCCAGCTCCCAGCAAGAAAGGAAATACGCACATTTCCCACACAAGAGCGCTCACCTGCTGTGCTCTGTGTGTTGCTTGCGGTTTGTGAGGAGGACAAGGAGGGCGGCGTGTACGTGGAATGGCGTGCTGCACTTCGCGTACGCCCTGCTGCCGGTGTGTCTGCTTTCCCGTTCACCAGCTGAGGGGGCTGTTTGAGGGGGACGCTCTGTCTCAGGGAGGAGGGTCGCGAAGGAGGTGGTGACGGCTCCCTTTTTCCGGTCACCCTGGACGATACCCGTCTCTTCCTCTCTGGACTGGAGGCACGACAGGAAGAAAAAACGCAAAAGATCACACTCGATGCGAATTAAGAGACTCAAAACCCCCAATAACATGTCCTTCTTTCTACCTGGATGCAGTGCTGCTGGCTAGAGATTCGCTCCTCCTCCTCCTCCTCTTCATGGCGTGTCGTGTCTGTCTGTCCGTAGTGTGTCGCGTCTGTCTGTCCGTGCCCTGTCTGGTCAGTTTATCAGTCAGGCCGTGGATGGCCTTGTAGTCGGCCAGGATGGAGCTGACATGCTCCTCAAACAGTGCTGAGAGCCTCAGACTCATACTGTAGATCTGGAGACACAATAAAGGATACACTAATTCAACTGTCACACTAAGACATCAAGGGATACATGACTGGACAGCCCTAATTGATATGAGAATTTTAATTTACATACCTATCAAAGCATGAAAATCAAAGATCACTACAGGGTACATTAAGCTTAATGCCCCCTGATTTTACAGGCCCTGTGTGTGTGTGTGTGTGTGTGTGTGTGTGTGTGTGTGTGTGTGTGTGTGTGTGTGTGTGTGTGTGTGTGTGTGTGTGTCTTACCCGAGACTTCTTGCTGGGCGTGTAGGCTTTGGAATTGCTGAAAATGAGTCGGATATCTTTGCAGAGCTCAATGGGGGACTGGTACTTTCCTTCTGTTAGCGTGTTGAGGACGGTGCCAAAGTCCATCGGTGAGTCGACTATTTGCAGGTAGTCCTGGCAGAAGCAGAGGGAAATTGGGGCATTTAATTTACAGGGTTCAAAAGATGGGTACACGATTAGGAGTAGAGGAGAGATAGAGAGGGTAAAGAAGAAAGAGATTCGGAGGGATTTGGGGTTTCTCTTAGAGTGGATGAGGAAAAAAATGAACCTAAAGCAAAATAATTCCACTCTCCCTCTGTTAACAAGAGAACTGTAGCCCCCTGAAACTGTGAGTCTATTCACATTGTTTCTCGCTCACAGCTTACACATCCATTAGATTTGGCCTTGCTGAATGGCGAGGCCTGTTCTTCCGGCCAAATAATCCCTTCGCTTCAAATACCACTCCTTATGTAACTGCGGCCACAGACTGATTTTGTATCAAAAACATTTAAATGAAAATGCAAATGAATGTGCGCCTAATGGCAATTCACGATGACCTAAACTCAGATCACATCCAATTGAGTTCAGTTTGCACACAATAGTGAAGAAAGAAAGCAACGACTTATTGCATAGGTACCGGGTATTCCTGCAGGTCCACAGGTTCTCTGAAGGGCTCCGAGTCTTCACACTGAAAGATGAGATCCAGCAGCTCCTTACAGCGCCCCCTCCATGCATGGGGGTCGTATGAAGGAGGTCGCGTTCGAAGTTGCCGCCGCATGGGTCGACGGCTCTACACATAAAAATGAGATGAGCGAGTAAATAAAAATATCTGTACGGGCAACTTCTAATGTCAAAAGTGAGACCTTAGAGATTAGTATGCTTTGTTTTCACTTGTGTGGACAGCAGTCTTGTCCACACCATGCTGCAATCAGATATGTTACCTTGTGATTTCGTGTGGATGTACCAGGAGTATTAGTATCTTCGTCCTCCTCCTCATCATCCTAAATAGGAAAAGGGGAATTAAATAAAGGCAGCGTATATTTCCCTCCACCAAGCTCATCTACTATATGTAATAGTATATTTCATTGTTCAAACTGCGTTTCAAATGTAACTTAATAATGGCAGCATTTCTTTTAAATAGAATTACTACTCGTTAACCCAAATTTTGTTTGCTGTGATTTATGCAATACATTATCCAGTCCACAGCAAATTTTGGAATTATTAATATTAATAATAGTGAAAACAAGCCTTTTTGATAGAAATGAAAAACAATATCTTGGCTGGGTGAGAAATTATGTTATCAATGTCAGCCACTAATTTAGAGTGAAAAGCGAGCATGGTCAGGACTATTTTAAGACACACTGCAGTGTAAAAACATGTAGATGTGCACACACACACCTCATCTTCCGAGTCAGAGAAGGTGGCCTTCTTCATAGTTTTGTAGAGGGGCATGAGGTCTGTCATACTTTGGTCCCTGAAGACAAAAGAAGATTTTTTTTTATGGACTGATTTAAGACAAAAACTCAACTGGTTGACGCTGAGCAGTTGACGCTGAGCAGTTGACATTGTTTTCTTGAATAAGTTATGCTTTACAACATACTCACTTAATGAATTGCAGCATGAGGTCAGAGACAAACTTGGCGGTAGTGACAATGAACGACCCAGGCTCATTGAATGTTTGGGCATTGTGTTCAATATAACGTACCTCCCACATCAGAGAGGACAGTCGCCTGAAAAAGGAAATAGAAATGTGTTGAGTGGGCGTTTAATTCTCTCTCCCTCTCTCTCACACAACCACACACACACGCTCTGTATCTTCTGCCATCCCTTTTACTCAACCACAACCTTGATGTGAGGTACCTGTAGAAGCGGTTCACAAGCCTTTCGCGTATGGTGCTGAGGTCCGTGACGTAGGCCACTACTGTGCAGTATGTGGGGTAAGCTTGTAGGTCCACTGGAAAGGCAAATGGCGCTGCTACATCTGAGGGTGGCACGTTCGGTTGGCAGATGAATGATGGAAAGGTGAACACACAAGAAGACGGGATTATTAATAGAACACATCTGCTGTAACAGACGGGCAATGCTACACAACAAAATGGCAGGATGGTGTAAGGGTGTATGCTTAATCAAGAAATAAGTTTACATGATCAAGTGCAGTTAGTTGCTGGTAAGTTAAGGCAGGTGAGGATAACAAAAGTGGATATCTTGTCTGTCTGTTAGATGTCCTTCCAAATGAAATAACCTGCATGCGCTACTTGTCCCTTTTGTTTTTCCTACTTTGAATAGTCTTACCTAAATATAGTTGCATCTAAAAGACTTTATATAAATCCTGTCCTGCTATAACTGCAGCATGGAGCGTAGGAGTAACAGGGAGACATCTAGAAGGATTGCTCGTGCATGTTAAATCCCCAAACTGTCACTAGAGGGAGCGCTCAACTAGCTTTCATCCTACGGGAGAACTGCAGTTGTACAAAGCCAGTGCCTAATATGACATTACATCACTTAAGGGGAATTCAAGCAAGCTCCTCAGTATGTGGCCCAACGTTTTAGCAGCTTATTCTTTTTAACATATGATCCGTGGCCCTGCTGGGCTCACGCTGATGAGCTCAGAGTAGGTGACTCATGTTGTGTGGACTCATGCTGCTGCCGCCGCTTTACGGACCATGTGCCCTCTTGGCTCAGCCTTACATCCCTGCTTACAAGACATACGTGGACTGCTATTTTCACAGTGGCTTGGTGATGTCATACCGAGCGTGCAGAGCTGGTCGATGGCTTTGATGATGCGTTCGCACTCGTCGGCGCGTTTGCGGCAGCCCCATTCCCCGTCCAGTGGGACGTACAGCAGCTCCTTCTGTTCTTCTTCTGTCAGCGGGACGCTTGTGCCCAACTCGTCGGGGAACGTGGCTGCACAAAGCAAAAAGTCATCAAGATTGTAAAATGTTGAAATTGTTAGGTGTTATATTTGAATTTGTAAAGAAAGAAAGAGTTTGAATGTGTGCGCACTGTACTGTGGGCGTATTCGAGGGACTTACCATCTTCAGGGATGGGTTCCATATCCCAAGGACTCATCTTCTCCGTATCTCCATTATCCCAGCTGGATGGGAAACAGTGTTGATATGAATCATCCACATCATCACATGGTGGTCTTTGTGTTTGTAATTTTTTTGTATTTTGCAGATATGACATATATATGTCATATCTGTATGGCAGGCTGCAAGTTCCTCTCTCTCGCAGCCTAAAGTGGATGTCGTTCTCTAACAGGGTTTTTCAAATAACGTGTGTCCATGAGCACTCGGTGCTGGCAAGAAAAATGAACTCAAACAGACAATATGCTTATTAATGTTTCAATTACAATGTCACTGACAATGAAAGTCGAGCAATACACAAACACAAAGGGCAGTCTTAGTTGGCGTCATTGTAAATATCAAATTCAAACTGTCATCCAGGACTGTTTCATCAGCTCTCTTGAATGATCCCATCCACGAGGTATTTGTGCAGTTAATGAGTCCTGGGAGAGGAGGTGTCAGCGGCATAATCACAAGGTCTTTGTGGAATTGTTGTTACATTTAGAACATTTGAATCAAACTGCTTCACATTTCTTACTCTGTCAGTTTAGAAAGTCAGACCTCAAACTCATTCAGTCTCGGGACTCACAAAGACGCCAAGATCTCAAAAGAGTCACGTGAAATTTCTCAAAATCATAGGACTTTAATAATTACATTTTAGTTTTTTCCCTTTAGTGTAACAAATGAATCCTGCACCATTGTGCATAAAACAAGAATCACAATTTCCTCACTAAAATACTACAATTTCTGTCACATTTCTTTTGTAACCTCTCTGTACCTATGAGTGCTTGTTGAGTATGCTCCATATATAGTGTCATACTGTATAAGCCTCATGTTATGCTGGTTGTCTGGTAGGGTAGTAGAAAAGTTCTGGTAGTTATCATAACATTCATAGTTTCGTCATGTTGCATTTTGTTGTGCCGTTTCAAGGGGCTGAACACATTTCTGGCAGTGACCTGCGGTGCTGCAACTATGACAAGATGTCATTTGCAAGATAAGTAATTTTGTCACCTTGGAACCTGAAAATAGACAATATGACACTTCACTCTACTTCATTTGAGGTTTCCTTGATTATGTTTAAAGTTGATCTCATCTGTGTTATTTCTGTTCGCCTGTGCACAGTTCAAGTTGAGTCATGGAGTCTTGTCATTTGTTGATGCAATTTAGGGAAAAATTTAGGAACCATTGGTTTGATGCGATGGATCTTGCAAATCCAAATACAACCAATTAAATAAAAATGCCTATTTTAATTGTGCAGCCCTAAATAGAGTAAATCCCAGCAGTGACCGTACCAGACATTGTAGCACTGAAACAGGCTGTCAGGATACTGAGGCTGGTAGGGCTCCTGGCTCTCAATGGTCCCAAACCACCAGGCATCGTCAATCACTGACCGAAACCTGTCACCTAAACACACACATGGCAGTTAGTTTAGATCTTTCCAAGAAAAGAACAGCTGGTTTCATAAACTGAACTCGAAAAATATATGTGACACATATTTGGTATTTGTTTCAAATTTGAGTCAGATTACAAAGGCAACATTGGCTGACCTATACTCCACTGTCTCTTCCTGGCATTGTCAAACTGCTGCCGCAATATCAGGAAGTCGATTACATCAGGCATGTCGTGGTATCTGCAACATGACAAATATGTACACAAAGTCAAAGACTGCATCAAAGCAAATATAGGAAAATATAAAACAGCCTTATTAACAGAGTAAAATACATCATACACATAAAATGTGTAGTAGCAGTTTACCATTCCCATAACAGTCTTTACTGACTATAATGTCAGTCAAGATTACTGGGTTAAATGTTTTATGAGAACTGTCTTGTCTTGTGTCAAGATGACAATTCATTTAAGAAAACAAATGCTGTATTTAAACTTAGAAGAAGAGGGAGGCACATAGACTACTTAGGAGAGTAGTTTCACACTGTCAGCACTGAAGATCTACATATTGTTGGAAAATTAGGGTGAATGATGGAAAGCCCAATTAAGTATAGGGTATGACACATTGTAAAGTAGCATGTATACCATATACAAATAGCAGGAGTGCCGTGATGCATCAGGAAAAAGTAATAGCATTTCTTCTTTAAAATTGATTGTCAAACACCTGAGCTTGACAATTTGTTATCAAAAAGCTGCAGACCCTCTGAGGATCTTCTGAAGACAAAAGGGGGGTGCTTACTTCATGGAGAAGGACCCTCCGGTCAGTTTCCCGGTGTCAGGGTCCAGGAAGGAAAGCTTCAGACAGCACAGTGTGGGCAGGCCGACTTCATACTTGATGCCAACTATCTTCATCAATTCCTGCTCCTGAACACCACAAATAAAATAAAAAAAGACCAAATAATGTAATTTAATACAACTTGTTTATTTTTAGGAAAGGTCATTCTCACACCCCGGAGCCATGTTAGGTTAAACATAGTATAATTTTCCATTGATATATTTTCTTTTAAGTTCTGTGTATTATGCAGGCAGAAAGAGTGCGAGCAATGCCACAGTAAGTTCCAAACTGGAAAGAGTAATGCTTTAGTGTTACCAGGCCTGTTTGTTCAAATTACCAAAAAATAAAAGGTATAGAAGAGAACCCTGCATTTCACATGCTACAGGCAAAACATTCAGAAAGAAGCACACTGTGCCTGCAATACATTATGGGCTTCTGTCTGGACAGAAATAGCTATTTCTGCCAGCACGCACGGAAAAGAAATGAAAAATATACCAAGTAAAAATGCTATCCAATGGGCTGTTACTTGTAAGTTTTGACAACTTTTTCTTTCAGTCTTGTTGAGATAGTTTTATATACAGGGATGGAACTTTGTTCTCTGCAGACATTTTTCTTTTTAGGACAGAAAATGCATTAAAGTAAAGATGAAAGTGAAACCAGACAAGTGTCTGTGATAAACAAGAAATACCAGTAGGAGGTTTGCTAGCTAAAGACTGTGTGTGTGTCACACAGTGTGCTGAATTACATCGTGACTTGCAAACTACACTGTAATTCATAGGACTTGGTGTGTATTCCCTGGAAGATTGTGTGTCATTTTTTATCTCTGCTACTCTAGCCTTTTTAAGCCATTGCTTTGGAAACTTCCTAAAAGAGAAATCAGTGAAATTATAATAATAATAACAACAACACTACCATGTCAGTCAAGATGTTAGATCGCAAAACAGTATCTGGCATTGGAACTTCACTACATATCTATCAGAGAAGTTATTAATGAAGTGTTATTAACTGTACAAATATAATTCCTCTATGTGAAGACTGTATAGATTTTTTTTGTTAAGAGGCTTCTACTCCGTAGACACACAAATAATGACACAATATAAATCGCTAGATACATGGGATCTAAAGAGCACTGTCTCTCTTCAGAGAGTCTTAAATCCATCTTTGTCAAACTGTTCCTTACCCGTAGCTCCATCTTGTGCCAGGGTTGCTTCTTAGGATTGATGCTGAAAATCTTTTTTTGCTTGGCCATCTCCACATAGGCTTCATGGCCCTGTCTGAAATAGTATAGCTGCGTGCACACACATACATCAATTAAAATATACCTCAGAATGCACAGAAGTGAGTCTTGAATATTATTCTGGCACATCATGTATATTTTTCTGGTATATAATGTACTTAAAAATATAAAACTTGTGGCAACACACTTAAAAAACTCTTTTAGCTTATAGAGTTGGCAATGTCAGTCACGGTACCCCTTATATTCTTGTGTGTAATAGGCATCACAGCCTCATGGGGCCGCTAAATTTAGTGCAAGACTTTTAGTCTTGTTGCTATGTAAAACATGAGCCAGTGTTTTGATATGAGCAGACATGTGGTGCACATGTGGTGAGGACACTGTAACAGCGTGTACCTCGTCTCCCATCTGGGGTATGTAAGGACATCTGCGGGGGACCGTGTCTGTGATCCAGGCAGAGGGAAGCCACTCCTCCAGAGTTAGCCCTTCCTCTTGTAACTCTGTCCTCTGATTACACACAACAAAATAAACACGCAATATGAGGTCGTTACTTCACATTTAAGGTTTTGGAAAATAGGATTTTGTCAAAGGCAGCTACTGATGACAAACCTTCCTCTTCTCCTTTGGCTTCTTCTTCTTTGGTAATGCGCCATCTTTGTCTGCTTTCTCTTTCTTCCTTTCTTTCTTGCCTTCTCTCTTCTTCTCTCCGTCTTCCTCAGAGCCGCTGCTTTTCTTTTTCACTTTCACGCTCTTCTTTGGCGGTTCAAGGTTGATCCCTGCGTCTGCTGTCCAGTCAGAGTAATCGCTGGAGTAGTCACTGCAAGAGAAAAGATTAAATACAAAGATGTATCTTGCTTGTGTTTTGACTTGCATATAGCATGTGCTCGTATCTGTAGGAGATAGTTGATATGATAAATGTTTGTCATATATTTTTATATATCTTACCTTGAACTACTGTGGTCATCTGGCCATGGCTCCTTTTCCTCCTCATCCTTCTCCTCCTCTGAGGAATGTCCGTTGATTTGCCGTACCTCCACCTCTCCCTGGAAACACACATACATACATTTTATGTCAGCACTCTAATGGACACAATGACGAATGACAGAATCAGTGAAAAGAAAAGACATCAGATATCTACTATGGTTCTCAAAGTGGGTTCAGGGTTCCCCCAGGGGTCCTTGAGTGGGTTCAAGGGGGTCCCCAGCAAAAAATGAAATCATTTATTTTCACTATAATTCCATCCAGAAGAAACAAAGTGACAGAATGTCTGACTATTATGGTCACTGGTTTCATACACTTTCTGTAATAAAACATCAAAAAGTCCTGTCAAATGGAGGTCTGTGATCTAATTTGTGTCAGTTTAGGGGTCCTTGATGTGAAAAAGTTTGAGAACCACTGGTCTATCGTTGTCACATTTGTGAGCTAAGCAGTGGTGTGCTTGTATCAGCTAGCTTGATTTACTTCTGCTGTGGTCGTAAACAAGAGATATGGGGTACTGAGCAGAGCTACATCCCCTTTAAGCCTTCAATGCTCAACAAACAGACTATTTGTAATTGTTATACTTTTGTTCTGAGAGTGGACATTAGACTGCTACACTGATTTAAGCAGTGCATTGTGCCTGGATTATGTTTATGACAGGGTGTTCTTTTGGAAAATGAACACAGAGTGAAAATACATAGAGTCCAGTCTATGAACACATGTATTAGTCAGACCAGAATTGTTCTACACAAGTTTCTGGGGCAAAATAGCTAAATATTGGGCAGTTAAAGGTTAACATGCTAGTAAAGTCTTCTGGTGAAAATCAGCTGATCTAATATCAGGTCAAGAAGACAAACCAGTACAAAAGCAGTAATAACAAATTACATGAGCCAACAAAATAGGAAAAATAAGAAAAGAAGTTAAGAAAAAGAAACTGTGAAATTGTAAGATTATACTGCCTGGCTGAAAATCATTAGATCGTTGGGTTTAGCACTTAGCTCCCCCACAAAGTTTAAAACTAAACTGAAAACAAACTAGTAACAGTGTTGTCTCTACCTCTGAGGTGCTTTCATCGTCATCAGCAGCCTCTGCGCTCTGGCGGCTCGTCTCCTCCATGGCAGCACGAGTCTGATAGCCGTGGTTGCCCTGGCTCCTCCTCCCCTCGTCAACTACACACTCTGATGTCGGATGAACCTGCAGCAGCAGAGGACGAAGGACAGAAACGAGACAAAGTCACTCGATATGAGTACCGATAAATTTAATAATAATTAAACAAGAAATCTCTAATTAAAACTAAACTGTAATCCTGCGCCTAAGAGATGTTAAGTCAAAAATAACAAGGTTATGGGAGAAAAATAATTATACTCCTGTAGAACAATAATATGTGTGTGTGTGTTAACTCACTTACCCTGCTCTCCTTAGGGAGAGAGTGGATGGTACGTCTCCTCCTTTCTGACTGATAAATATTGATCTCCTCCTCCCCTTTAGCCTCACGCCAGTTTACCTGTCTCCTACACAATAAACACAGAGTGACGACGAGGTGTTAATACCATCACATCCAAAAGCGGGATCCTCTATTTGTTATCACTTTTCTGTGTGTGTTTGTGTGTTACCTGACAGACGCGTCCTCCAGCTCAGGGACCAGCACCCTGCGGCTCCAGGCCACCAGGTCTCCCTCTGTGGCCATCTGGCTGCGTGGGGCGTTGCTGTGCATCTGGCGGACACCCTCGATCTGCCCGCTGCGACGCAGACCCACATTGGGCGGGGAGTGCACCTCTGTGGGAGAACCCACCGATCCTGAGGGACCGAGACGTCAAAGAGAGAAAAAAATTGTGCTTTCAATTTGTCAATAGCATTTAAGTGATACGCGTGTTTTGGTGGGGAAATTGTCCTACTGCTTCTGACACCAAACTCATTCATGCGTTTCTAGTAGATCGTTCACTCAGGTGCTGCATTTACTAATGTTTCAGTGGATCTTAAGAGTGATAGCAGATGACTCAAATCATCTCCAAAGTGTGTCAATAAAAATCTATAGCTCTAAAATAAATGCGAAAAGGCTGCAACCCCCTCCCCCATCACTCCTGTGCACGAGCACTAACGCCACCTGTTGCTGATTGGCTGGAACAATGTTGTGTGGCAAAGTCCACACACTTTCTTTGTATTTCATTTACAGAGCCAGGGCTACGTAAGAAAACCGTACTGTTTTCAGAACACACTAGGGCTTGGCAATAAAACAATAATGATAATTATCGCAATATAATTTTTCTCAATAACAATATAACAACTGTTCAATAAATCTTCAATAAATATTTGATTTAATTGAATCACATACAAATTAGCGCTTAACATTTCTATTAAGATATTTATTTTGTTGAGGAAAATAGACTGAAGAAAGATTTTATCATAATTGTTTTAAATGTTCTGCCTCAGATTTGTTAAGTGATCGACTGTTTGGCAAGTGTTTGTCATGTTCTGACCATTAAGAATAGTTTAAAACCACAATTTACTATCTTCAGCTTTCATTCAGGGGTAAAAATCTGCCTTTAAAGTTAAAAGGAATAATGATTTGACATTTCGTGACAATTATCGATATCAAATTATATGAATTTTTTTATCCTGATTAACATTTTTGATCGTATCGCCCCCTGCCCTAGAATATACATAAAACAGAGAGCTCGCAAACCGTGAGGAATTATTAGCTTAATTTAACAAAACATGTACTGGATTACAATCACTTACTATCCCTTTAATCTTCCTTGATTAAGAAGTCAATTGTTTATCTATAAAATGGCAGATAGCAGCTTTTTCCAAATCCCCAAGTCTTCAAATTGCTTTGCTTGAAACAACTGAAACAGTTATTTTGTTGACAAGCGAATAGTTGATGTTAGTTGAAGGAGAAAAAAAAGACTTAAACCATTAAATCGGTTAACAAAGCGGTATCTACTAATTGCTTCAAAAGTAGTAGATTGAGGAACAGATACAAAGAGAGACTAGAGAAAAAACAATGATTGCAACTTGCAGGGAGTCAGTTACTGAAGTATTTCATTAGTTAAACTTAGCAGAATTTACAAAGAATACTTCAGAATTTTTCTTTTACTTTTTAGGTGAGTGAAAACAAAACCTAATTGGCATGGCATGTGAACCACAATGAAAAGCCGCCCAAACTATAATAGTATGACCCTCCTGTCATGACGTGGTCTTACCTCTGCTGGCCCTGGTGCTTGCAGCAGTAGAAGCAGAGGCGTCATTCGCTCCCAGTCTTTGGTCCTGTTCCTGCTGCAGCCTCTGAATCATTGTATCCAGCGGACTGGAGCCGTCCACCGCCTGCTCACTCACCACTTGGTTCAGGCCTGACACAGACAGGAATGGAGTAAGTGATAGAGAAACAGAACGTTTCGGGGGGGAAAAAAACACATCAAATTTAACAACAATTACGGTCATGAATAAGGCCACTACTGTCTTTATGGCATTTGTTTCTATTTCTATTAGACGAAGGTCAGCTAACAATTCCTATACTCTGCGTGTCACAATGCTCTACCAAAAAGCCAATGACCTTTAAAAGCTGAGAGCAGAGCAAGGTTTGGTTAACACTTTTACTGTGAGAGCATGTAGAGTCATATTGTCTCACAAGGAACTCCTCTCCTCCCCCTTGCCTCTATGGAGGGAAATTAGGTTGCATTCAGACTGCAGGCCAAAGTGACCCAAATCTTTTTGCTCATATGTGACTCAGATCTGATTTTTTTCTAACAGTGTGAACAGCCCAGGTCACATGGAATCTGGTCTTTTCCACTTTGGATTTGGGCCACTTTCATGTGGTCCAAATCAGATACAGGTCAAATTGTCCGGGCAGAAACAATAGAATGAGAGAGAGTTGTAGAGCTTATAACTGTAATGCAATGAAAAGGAAAGTTGTTAACATCTGTCATAAATCGGTATATGCTAATCTCTGTACTTTCATGTTTACTTCTGTACGATAGTGAGCATGCTGCATGTGACGTATAATTATTTTGTGCATCTAGTCACTTTCAGGCCATGGCCAGTTCACACTGGAGTGTGATATGGGCCACTCAAAAAAAAAAATCAGCTCTGGGCATGAATCAGAATTAAGCATTAAGGTCTGCAGTGTGAACATAGCCTTAATTTCACAAACGTGTATTACAAAATTAAAATAACGTGCAGAATTTTGGGTACTCATTCATGCAAGTTCCAATCCACACAGCAATGCCAAGCGATTTGAACACAAGTAAAACAGTTTTACAAATGCACACATCACAACCTGAATAGTAATATTTTACATGACTTTCAACTCCACAGATCTGATCATTTTCACTTTTGAAAAGCTTCCTGTTTATACAGATGTCTAAGAATGGTTTGTGACATTCTTTTGTATTTATTTACAGATTGTTAAATGTGTGAGCATGGATCGCCTGATACGCACGGATCAGGTTATATTTGCATGTGGAGTTTTGAGACTCTTAACAGTATCCAGCTCCAGGCATCCCACAAATGCATGCTGCGTTTAAGTGCTGGTGGAAAACTGGGACATCTGGGCTTTCAGCGAATTCAGGTGTCATTTCAAAGTGGGAATAACATTTTCCTAAACAGACAGAATAGCTCGTCATCCCTCGATTATAACACATACATTTAACAACTACAGACTCTAAACTGTACGTGTGTTCAAACTGCTTGCCATTGGTGGAACACTAATTTGTCAGATAATATAACACACATTTGTGAACATTTCGAGTCTAATTTCTCACCATATGCCTCTTTCACCTATTTCTACAGGGCACTACTGATGCATTTCATAAACTACTGATTGTTTATAACCCGGCCAAGATTTTAAACTGCATTATTAATTCTGCTTTTGATTGCCGATGCAGGTGTAGTTTCAGTAAAAGTCTCTCATTAAGCACATTTGAGGACATACGCAATTCTTGTCAGGCTATGAGAGCGGCATGCTCGACAAATGTGTCTTTGATCAGCAGACAGATGGGTTACAAGTTAGACAGAGGACCTCGGGTAAAGCTCTGATCTGACCTGGACAAGACAACAAGAGCAGAGCAGAACTTCAACTGAGTTCATGCTCTCAGACCATGCGGAGGAGAGATACTTCTGGACTGATTTCAGCCTCTGTACCTGAGGAAGTGACCCCCATCTGCGGGATAAGCTGCTCATCCCTGCAGCCCTCCCTGCCAGGCACCAGCCGCTGGTATCTAGGAGGGTGGGGGTTCCCGTCCACATCCACAAGAAAAGGAGGGGGCATCAGATGTGGCGCCTGCTGAGTCTGCTCGTCCAGCACATAATTGTTGGCATCTCGGATCAGTGGCCGGTAGTCGGTGTGAAAAAACATCTGGTCCGCTATCTGAAACGTAATGAGGTCCATACACAGACGCATTAGATTTAAAATGTTTGCACATAAGTGTGTTTTCAATGAGGATTGAGGATGCAAGAATGATCAGAACCACTGATCAGGGAAGGTGACATTTGTTATTACTGATAACATCAATTACATGAGTTGTTATTGTCAGGTTTATGTATGCGTATAAATATTAAAGGGGTTGCTTTACCTTGTCATACTTGCTGCTGGAGCCAAAGCCAAAGATGAGCAGGTGTCCATGGGAGTCGGTGGCTGCAAAATGCTGCCCATCTGGACTACATTTGCAGTCAAACAACGCCCCGTGCCCTTGGCCTTCGATCTATCCACACAGAGAGAAAGCGACGGGGAGGTTGGGAAAAAGCTGTACACTGTAAATCATAGTACTACACTGCCAGGGGGGATTCCAGGCAACGGTAACAGTTGTATGGCATGGACACAGTCAACTCAAAATGTTTAGTACACAAGATCAACTGCAGTATACACCACATGAATGTGTTGATCTAGGGCTGAACGATTAATCGTTTCCAAATCAAAATCGGCATCATCTTACACTGAAGTGTTTCAGCAGCGGAGCGTTTAGCCTACACGTTGTTAACGTGTTGTTAATTTGTCATTTTGTCTGCTTCAACTATAGATAACAGCTCTATGAGCCTGTTCTGTTCCACTCTGTGCAGGCTAACATTACATTTCCACATGGAGCATTTCAGAATAAGATCGTTTTGCCTGTTTGATTTTGCTGGCTTGTTCAGTTGTCCTAGATTTTTGTGGTTCTGCTATGATTAAGTAGGCTATGTAGAAGTCAAATTGTTACTTTTTTTGTCTGTTTTAACTGTTTATTGTTGTTGTACGATCGGGAGTCTGCAAAGGGTGTTAATGAAAATCGACCAGATTCTCAATGCCGTTGTGTGTCTGACTTCCTGCCTGGTTCACCTTCCACCGGCTTCCGTTACAAGATTTTACATAAATAGCACATGAAAATCACACATTTATGATTCAGCAAATAGCCACATTCTAAAAATTGTCCTGTTTGTTTTTCCAGGTAAACCATCAGGCAGGCAGCGATTCTTATTTCCAGCAGCAATAGTAGAATAACTAGAGTTTGATAGACAGCAACAGCAGAGATATCTACTATCTGCAAAAACAGAGCACCACTTGCAGAAACTGAAACTTTATCAACAGAAAACTGTTCTGTTAGCTGACTGTTGCCTTTAGTTCATTCTGTGGGGGTTTCCTTCACTCTCACAAGAGCTCCATTCAATCACAAGATGAAAACATTTTGCCTTTGAGTTTTTGCCTCCTTGTCCCTCATTCAGTAAAAAAGCCTTGTCGTCTGCCAAAGCACTAAACTCACATAGCACAGAGCCTAACCCCAGACGAACCTGAAGCTCTGAATGTGTAGTTAAGTGGTTTAGAAAACAGCCTAGTCAGAGATCAATTCTACTACTGGTCACGGTGTGCTAACTTTAGCAACTGTAAGGCAGATACTGATCTGTAACGGACATTTTGGAGTTCTTTGTAGGGGTGTGCTACTCTTCTAACATTTTTTATTTACCATTATCCCGTCATCGTTAGTTGTGTCCACAGGGGCCACTATTTAGCAACAGTTACATAGTCTCGCTTTCAGTTTCAAACTAAAATCTGGGCCGTTTCACGATAACAGACTTGAAACTATTCACTGTCTATGACCAACACCAAGATCTGGCCGACTGACGACACCACTGAGTGACTCACTTGTTCTGGGACTGTGATTAATGCTGTCCTTGGTTACCATAGAGATGCACACAGGAAATGCAACAGTGGCTTTAATGATTAACACAGTAGGTGAATATGAAAAGTGGCAAATGCACATCAGTGTGGTGTCATGATTTCATGCTACCACTGACTCGTGGCCACAGCCACACATACTGCAGGGGGAGAGCAATGGCGAGTGAGGGGGAAGAAATGGGAGACAAAGAGTGACACTGAAGAAAGGAAAGAGAAATCATGCATAGTGGGATACAAGCAAAGACTAAAGGAATAAGAAGAACAATTTAAAATGTGAATTTTTGCTGATTCACTGCGTGAAAAAACTGTGTCACACGTGAGGGGGGACAAATATGAGCGTCTGGTCAGTGAGCAAGAGGCAATGAGACAAAGGGACAGAGAAACACACGGTGCTCCGAAGTCTCACCATGTTGAAATAGGAGCGGATCTTGACTCCTCTGGCCAGGTCCCACACAACGCAATTCCCATCATGCCCCGCCGAGAAAAGGATTCTTGGATCAAAGGGGTGTGGCTCCAGAACAAACACCTCATCCTCGTGACCCTGTCATTAAACACCATGAACATGTAGATTAAGACACTCCAAAAAATGAACAAAAAGACAGAAGAAAAAAGAAATCATCAGTGTCTGTTTCTTTCTTCTTCCATGTGTATTTGCATGTTTTAACAAATTAGCAATACTTTGTGTCACTTAGGGTACATTACTCTTCCTGTGAGTGTGTTGAAGGGCAACACTGCCTACTATCAAATGTAGTAGGCATGTCCTTGAATGCATCACTAGAGGGAGTCTCTGCAAATCCCAGCTAACAATTGTATTACCATGCGAGAATTAAGATAACTTTGATTTTTGTTTTTTAAAAAGGTGGACATATCAATGATGCTGATGATGCTGCTGCTGCTGAAATGTTCAGGATGACAGATTTTGTGTTTCAAAGTAAGAAAACAATCTTAAAATCTATAAAGGTCTACAAAACACAAAGTACTCTAAATGGCATTTGTAGTATGAATGTGTTTCATCACTACACACCATCAGGACGTGGACGAGGTTGCCGGTGGTGGAGTTCCACACCTTCAGTGTCAGATTGTTGGCCGCTGTGATCACCGTGCCGTCATGGCGATCCCATGCTACCATTGTAACCTTCAGCTTGGTCACCTTGTCTTCCAGCGGAGGAGGGTTGTACTTCCTGAAAAGGAAGATGTTGGATGTCATGTTTGGTTTACTTTACAGTAATCAGTGACAAAAACACATCAAACAACAGACGTATTATGAAATGGTCAGAATGTCATGAAAAATAAATGCACCCTCTTTCTGAATAATTGATCAAAGAATGATCAGTGTATCACCTGGGCATTCCTGCTCGATTTCCATTCCTAGATTAATTGAATCTATTATCCTCAGTCCTTATGCACCATTAATGTGGAGCTAGATGATCTTGACAGCTTGACCTTATCCCTTTACAGTTTAAGATTGTTATTCACATCTGCTGTTACTGTTTACATATTTTAACTGTGAAAAACAGCAAATTAAAATATGTCAGCAATTTATATTTATATATATATATATATATACACACACACACACACACACACACACACACACACACACACATATACACACACACACACACACACACAGTATGTATCAGTCTAGTTATATTGTGAAGTGTTAAGTTGTGTTTTTTTCAGTTTTTATTATAATATCTAATCTTCAGTTATCACAATTAAAATTACATTTTGTTTTGATAACCAGGTTATCTTAATATCTGTATTTATTCTCATTGCTGTCTCATGTTTGTTGTGTTCATTCAGGCAATAAAGACTCTAATAGCCTGTCATTGTCATCTCCATTCATTCACTGTCTGTGACGCCTGCAATAAATCTATATTCTGACTGGGAGCAGTCCGGCGATCAATCACTTTGTCACACTTCATGCCACAGGTGTGAACGTGTTTTTTCCCCTGTAACTTAATTATGTATGTGCTGTACATTATGCAGTAGGTCACCATACTCTAAATAAATAAATGCAAAATGTAAATTTTGTGGGTAAAGCATTTTGCTGCCGGTACAAAGGGCATTAAATCTCTTTTGACTATTCCTAAATAAATCCTTTTACTTCAACACAGTGCGCATTTTCAATAGGGAATGTTGACACGCTATCAGGTCTGGGACTTTTGTACACAACATGATTGATTCTTGTAAAATTTAGACTGCCGTTATAACCGTAAGATCATCCCAACCCACGGCTCTGAGCTCTAAGCATAGCAGCGCTGGTGGAGAAGTCAGACTTTGACAGCAACACAAACACACACACATACCCTGGTAATTTGGTCTGCATGTCCAGCAGAATGCTCCTCCAGCCCTGAGGCTGCAGCTGCCAGATTCGTGCTGTACCATCCCTGCTACCGCTTACAAACCTGCAACACACAAACACACACAGACCTTTGAACACAGATTCATGCCGCAGCTACACTGTAAATGTAGCGCTCGATTTCTATTTCAGCTTTTTGCAATACACTGAATGCTTTTATCAGGATACACTAATTGTATGCACTCCCCCTCCGCCCCTTCCCTATCTCCTCTACCCCTCCTTTTTGCATAGACACTCTACCTCCCTCACTGCTGAGATTACAGCAACCCAAGGGAATTACAGCTGAACTTGTTTTTCTGCAAACTCCACGTAGACACACACAATTTAAAACTCAGAGAGTGCATGATATGTGCAAGTGTATGCGTGTGGCTATGCGTGTGTGCTAGAGGAAGTGTATTAGAGTATGTATCGGATAGCAAGTAAAGTTGGTGTTTCTGCTGACACCATCAAATCATATTATAACACCCAGAGGTTCCACAAAAACAAACAGCGGTGCACACACAAAAATTAAATACACCTATTATGTAGCTCACACACACACACACAGACACACAGACACACACCAACTGTGCAAAACCTACCTGTCACTGCAATGTGAAAATTGGATGCTGTCAACTTTGTCCTAGGTGAGAAAAACACAGGAGAAAAGTCAAAACAACGCAAGGAGTAGCAAGCTTTCCCTCTGCTAGCCTTCCAAATCATCAATTTATTGCGATAATTGTGAAAACCAAAAATCTCCATGACAACTGAAAAAATCTGCTGAGGATGTCCATGAGATGCAAAGCTTTGGAAAAATCAAGTAAAGTGGACCTTGATTTAAGGTTAAAAATTTTTAGTTTTTGGTCAAACTACTGTTCCAAAAGTCAAGAATGACCTTTTACGCTCAACATATTTCAGAAACAACCTGCTGACTGGTGCAAATCATTAAATATTTTATGTATATATTTTTATTGTATGTAATCGCTTTTTTTTTTTTTTTCTAAAAATAGAAAACAGATCATGAACAAGCCAAACAGATAAATCAAGTCTTAAATTCAACTTGTTGATCCATAAGTCGAAACAATATAACAATATAACGGTACCATTTTAAGCATCTTACTGTGTCATACAGAGAGTTACTTTAAAGCACCATGTTGACTCACTGTATGGGACTCAAGCTCGGAGATCTTCTCTGGTTGGCCTGACCCGAAGTAGTACACCCTGATGATGTGATCCGTGCTTCCTGTGGCCAGGAACATACCACCTGGATACACACACAGACACATACAGCGTCAGAGTAACACAATTCATACATTCCAGTACTTAAAAAAAACATAAATAATGTAAAATAACATACTTAAAATACAGACTTTAAAGATCAAACTGTGGTGAACCCAAATGGTCAAAAGTGTACAAACTCTGCAAAAGAAACTTTAAAGTAAATGATCAAATGTTCGAGGTCAATAACATCTCAAAATAGAAATAAACCCTCAACGACTGTGAAGCACACTTATTCCACATTTCCTGAGAAGCAGCAGGCCCACTTGAGTGCGGCTGTCAGTTGTGCTAGATTTTCAGTTAATCTGAGGCTGATTGTGCACATTGTTTCAGCTCTGTTGCTGTTTCTCCCGTGGTCTCGAACCATGTGTGAAAATCAAAGCCCACCTGCGCTAAAGGAGGAGCAGATCATCTGGACGCCAGGCCTGGAACGCTCTGTGAATTTACTGGGCCTCTGACTGGACAGACAAACACAGACAGACATTTCAAATGAAACACGCTGAACTAGTTTGCATGTTTTCAATGGAACAGCTTTGACAGGTGGGAGTGGTAGCTGAATTCAGCTTCCTTTACACACTGTGTTACTTGTACATACCTATTTTTTAAATAGGTTCAGCACACGCAGTATAAAACAGTAAAAATCAACTTCTGAAGCACTGAAGAAAATGTCAATCCTATCCACCGACCAAATGAAAGTTAAAACTGACAGTGGCCATAAAAAAAAGTGATAACTCATCCCAAATCTGTGTGTAGTTTACATCAGTACCATCTTAAAGGATGTTCTGCATGAGGCAAGACAATTTAAGAACAGCAAGCACAATAAAAACTCGGTAAACTATGATTTTCACCATGTAACAAACACAAATATGCATAATAAGTATAATGTCAATATGTCAAGGTAAAAGGTATGAACGGCACTCGCAGGTGAGACCGCGCCTACTGTGTGAACGCCGTCTGTGTTTCTCACCCAAACTTTAGAGTGCGTGCATCCCACTGCCAGAAGCAGATGGTGCCGTCAGCTCCGGTGGAGGACAGGTAGCGCTTTGAGCCGCAACAGAGAGGAGAAAACTGCAACGCAACCAATTAGAGGTCAATTAGAGCAATCAAAAGACGTTGCTATAGCAAAAAACACAAGGACAATTAACATAAGCTTGCATAAGTTTAAAAAGCATCCATAACATTATAGGGAGAGGTGAGAGATTTGCATACAAGCTTAAAATACAGATACACAGATAAATATGTAAACAAAATAAATAAGTAAGAGCTCAAAAACAAATTTGAGACAGGTAACAGAGGCCTTCTCAAACACTGTGTATGCTCAAACACTGCACGCTATAAATCCTGAAACTTTCCAGGATAAGGCTGGCAATGTTCTGTATTCTTATTGTCGACAAATTCCATGAAAAGACCAAAACCTGCAGTGAACTGATCCTTCCAAGAAAGTATTGCCTGTGTAGCCAAAGCATGATATATCTTACTCCTCTGTGAAACAGACCTCCATTTCTGTCTTTAAACTATTCAAAACCCATGAATGAGACATACCGTTGATCTGGAATTACGTTCCAATGAACATATGCACTGTAGTTTATTTTGAGTAAATCCCACTTTACCCATAGTGCCACAAATACTTACAAACTGGCCAAACACCCTGACCATGCCTGTACCTGCAATGAGGTGATAGAGGCTGCATGTCCTTCCAGGACGGCCAAAGGGGCACAGGTCTGTAAGCACCACACTCTGATAGTCTTGTCACAGGACCCGGCAGCGATCATGGTGTTCTCATAGCTGACGGCCATGTCGGAAATCTCAGCGGCGTGGCCGCGCAGCGTCGCCAGCAGACGCCCGTCATCTGTTCCCCAAATCTTCACAAGGCAGTCGTCTGAGCCCTGGAAAAGAAAGGCAGTGCCGCCAATATGGCTATCAAACGTGAGTGAAGACTCGTGTTTTGTATAGTTTGAGATGTGGCGTGTGCACTTCTACTAAGACAAATGAAACTTGTCAAGTTCAAAAAGATTTTAAAATATATCTGGCCACGCTGCTGCCTTAGACTGTCAGCACAAACAGAAGAGGGAACGTGGCTCTTCGATGCAAAAAATAGAAGTGACTAAAAGTGTGTCAAAAAGTGCCAATGAACATTTCAAGACACTAGATCATTACAAGTGCTGTCAGTACATTTACGTGCATGCTACTAACTTGATTATTACCAGTAAAGGAAATACACGAGTACTGCAGCTGTCATGGGAACACATTCACAGAATTATCTTAGGCCATCTAAGTCACAGTATGGACAAAATTAGACTGGTCAGTGGTGGAAAATTAAATACACTTACTTTCATGAATGCAAAAACATTAGGTACATTTACTACTGACAATTGCTTGCCTAATCTTCAGTACATCTGTACATTAAACAAATTGTGTACATTTAAGTTATTGGAGAAATCTGGTTCCTGCAACCATGTTAATGTTTGCTCTAATTATTACCTTCATATGGTTATTGACAATAATGGGCTAAAAATGTGCAAGTTAGCATACTGAACATCCTTCGGCATGACTTTTAACCACAAGGAACAGGACAAAACAGACACACTGACTGACTCACTACCTAGACAGTTCAGAACTAAGATTTTTCACACCACTGTGAGATAGACCGGCCTGCTCTGTGAGTACTCCTCACTGCAGCAGAAATAAAGTACAACTGCACCAAAGAAGATTAGAGTAATCTCAAACTGTAGAGAAACTGCACTGAGTATTGGCTGAGCCTTCACTAAGACGTCACAAGACATCTCATTTTGACAAAAAGGGTTTTTTAGCAAAGAGGGGAAACCCTCTTTGAAGCATATCTACTGTGCTTGTGTTAAATTAAGTAAAAAAAACAACGCAAGCCGATAAAGGAACACAAAATGTGATGCAAAATGGGGTAGCCTAGAGGCAGCTTCCTACACAGTCTTCAATCTGGACTGAAAATACACGATCCTCAATCAAGACATAGAAACAGCCTACAGGGACACGAAAGAGACTTCCTGGCTGCGATCCAGCTTGTAAGGAGTTAAAGTGTTTGTGATGCAACATGGTGCCAGACCCATCTGTGCTTTGATTACGATCTCAAAATAAATTTAAAAAACAACAGGTAACAAGTTTCAAGATGCAGAAAACGCAGTGTGACATGATCTAATATCTTTATTTAAAAAGAATGAGCTGGTTTCTGTGATTTGCACACTCTGGAAATAAAGAAGTGACTCGTGGAAAAGGAATAAATACACCAGAGCCACATCAGTAAATGAGGAGGGTTAAGGATAAAAACAAGGTACTATAAGTACATTTACAAAATGGGATTGCACAATTTTCTTAACCTGATCATTACATTTGCATATCAGACAGACTGAGTGGATTCCAGTCGGTTAGTTACAGAACATGCAGTAACATCCATCCTGTTATATCTGCTAAGTAGTTTATAAGACAGACCACACTATCAGTATCAGCATAGATTTTAGAGGAAATGTGAGATGGAAACACCAACCCCCTCTTTTGAATAAATCATAATCACTCGCTCTATCACCAGCAGAACAGTGTCTGACTGGAGCTGCTATTTTATGTGGACTGATCAAAACAGCAAGCGCTCCCATGGCGATTTAGAAAAAAGCTCAAGGACAAATCACGGCTGTGGCAAGATGGACAAAAAACTGATATGCCCGAATGAGAGCCGGGCCTGAACAGTGCGCCGTTTGGAAAAGCCAGAGACTTGACACAAACTTTCCTTGTTGCTATAGATGTGAAGTTATGTTAGCTGCCGTCACAGGGACAAACAATGCGTGCTAGCGAGTCTAATTTGTCCTTCCCAATGGACATGGTAATGAGCCTGCAGCCATTTCTAAAGCTATATTACGCAAATCAATATGGCTGTTTGCCAATCACTTGTTTAACCAACATACATGCGCTTGCTCATTGATCACAAATGATCACAGTGAATGTTTAGGCTAAATAAAATAATCCATAATCAATCCATCTGCCTGCCACTGCAGTGAAGTCTGAGTAAAAGACGAAGAGATCCAAAAATAAGAAAATATATAAATAAAAATGATCTTGTGATGAAAGGAGACCAAAAGAGAGAGACAAGGAGAAAAAACAAGCGGAGAGGGAAAAAAGGGAGAAGGAGAGAGTGAGGGAGACTAAGAACGAATTTTAATTCTGGCACTTAGCCAGCGCCTCAGAGGAAACATTTTCTCCAGTTATGATGAGAAATGGCAAGAAGAGGGGGAGAGAGAAAGGAACAAAGGAGGGGCAGCTCTGGATGAGGGACAGGGGAGAGGAAAAGGAAGAGGGAGTGTGAGAGAGAAAGAGAGAGCAAGTGCTCTGGTTGTAAGAACGGTGGAAAGAGAGATAACAGGAAAAGAGAGACGGAGAGTCAATCTAGCCCTCCCCCCTCCCTCTCAGCAGCCAGCCATTTTTAGAGATTTAAGAAGTGAAAGCTGAAAATGGTGTATAGCAGCAGGCAGTGTTTGACTCAAGGATTCAAACAGAAGGACGGCAACATTAAATCAACATTATTGTTCGTTCAATATTTAACACTTTACCCGTGCTGTATCTCTAACCCAACCACATGGAAAAGGAAGTTTGAAAAACACATGTACCGTATACAAGTGGCATTCAGAGGTCAAAGGTCAACTTCCTCCTTATGAGAGACCATGGGAATCCCTTGTTTCCCTTCTTTAAAAAATATAATTATTTTCCTAAAGTCATGTGAATTTGCTCCCCTGCAGAATTCAGCTCTAGTTGTGATTCATTCAGTAAAAGCGTCGCACCGCATTAAGGTAAACAGTAATTACCTCCTAGCAGAGCTGTTCCAACAGGGAATACAGACGCTTGGTCATCTTGGTAAGCAAAAAGACAACTTGTAACAATCAGGCACATACACAGCACACAAGAGGTGGCCCTAAACAAATACACAGTGACACACAACAGTGTCACTGAAATCACTTTGAGTAGGCTCCTTAAACACCAGCACACACTCACACACACACACACACACACACAAGCACGCAAAGACTGCAGCCTTACCGTGAAGATGCGTCGTCCCGTCCTGTCGAAGGTGACGCAGTACACGGACGACAGGTGTCCCAGGATCCTCTTGTGCATCTTCATGTGCTGGTACACAGCTGTGGGCACCAGCTGCCGGAGACGGTAGGAGCCGTTGAGTCGACGGCCGAAGCTCGTCTCGACTGGATAGCAAGAAAAAGGTAAACCGGTGAGGACATTGTTACATGGGAAGAAATCAGCAACAAATCAGTGAAAAGCCACACATTTAATAAATTATATACATATATATTTTATAAATTATTTTTATGAACATGAAAATGGGCCACTACTTCGATTCTGAAGCAAATTAATAAAGTAATGTAAATACTTTGGCAAGCAAAGATACAGTGTAGTATGTGAGAATCATCTGACTCCCAAAGTGAATATCAACAGCACGAACAGAGACCAAAAAATGGTTGAATGTTAATTTTTATTTAGCAAAATTAAAGTGTTTTCTTTACCAATATTTGGTGGGCTCCCGTAGATAATAGGTGGCTCCGGTGGTCGACCACAGTGTAGCGCAGCCAGTGCTGAGCCCTTCCACACAACATGCTTGCAACCTGGAGGAAGATGCATAAAGAAATATAATACAGTTTGTCATATGTATCGTCTGTGTGAGCTGTTCCGCATTCATGTGGTTATATTTGCATAAGCGCATGAAATAATGTATTTACATGAGGTCTGTTAGTCTAAACACACCTGCAGGGATGAAATAAAGTAGTTGCGTGATTGGATGTGTTTGCACATGTGTACATTAAAGTAGCTCATTTTGCACACTGACCACCACCATTGTCCACTCACTCTTGCTGGTGCGGAGGAGATTCTGCCTGCCGGCCCCCAATAGGCTGGTAAGTCCAGGCACGCTGGCAGGGACCTCCCTCTCCAGCAGCGGACAAACTCTGGAGCAGACCTGCAGCAGGTGGTCTGCACTTATGTGCCGGTATAGCTTCACCTGATCACAAACACACACGCACTTAGCTCAGCTTGCATTCAGACTTGTAAATGACAAAATACCAGTCAGAGCGAAGCAGGGTAGTATACTGAAAAAAGAAGCAGAAAGAAATGTGTTCAAGTGACTTTGTTGGCAAAAGCTGATGTGTCGAGACATCAAACCTGAACAAGCTTTACATTTTTGTTGCTCAGCCTGCACTGACTCTGACACAAGTGAAAAGGTAAAGAAAACCTCCCTGTATGGATTAACATGGTACCGCATTATTGCAGTGAAAATTAACATTTTCAATACTTAATTAAATTAAAGGGAATAATTAAGTATTTACAAGCGACTGTACAGAAAAAGGTTAATTCTTTAGCTTGAGCCCATTTCGTTTCAAACTCTTAAGCACACACACACAAAAAACTTTTTTCAGCAGCATTAGGAGAAGTGAAAAACAAGGTCACTGCCCCAAATGACTGTGGGTTTGCTGAGAATTTCAAAAATAAAAAGGTGCCCTTTTAAAAACGATATCAACAACTATTCCCTGAGGGTTTCAATGGAAATAAACTAGTAAGGCAAAGGAAAAAAATAAAATAAAATGATGACCTTCTTTTTGAGTAACATTCACACTTCACTCACCTTGTGAAAAATCATCATTTCAAATGCATTTGTCAGCACCCTGACAAGCTGATTAATTATTAAATCTTTCTATCACAATTTTTTTTTAAAGGATAAAAATGGCAAAATGAACATTAAAATGATTGTCTTCTAAGTGGAAATGGATACAGTTCCCTTGCAGTATAGTAGGCTAAAAGCAGCAGAGAAGGGGGGGTGTGGCATGCAACATTAACACGAAGCAGAATGAAAGCCACACTGTTGTAAACACAGTGTGGCTGATTCAACCGACACATGGAGACAATCCTGCGTGGTCTACCTCTGAAGAAACACACACGCCTGAATGAGAGAGATCAAATATGCAGCATGTGGCCCTGTGTTTATTTCAGGATGCAGGATTTTTTTTAAATGTATTTCTTAATTCTAAATCAGACAAATCAGCTTTGTTTTCCAATGCCTCTGATTTAAATATCTGAACGGGGTCAAATAAGCCTGAAATTCAACAATAATCCACTCACATTCCTTTTCTTTTCTCCATTCCTTTATCTGAGCACTGACATTAACATGTATTGTCCCTGTGACACACACACACACACACACACACACACACAATTAATGACCCCTTAATTGCTTTCAACATCCTTGCTGGTTCAGAGACGTGATCAGTATTTCTAAGCACATATCAGCGCACAATCCCCTCTCAGGTACACACAGAGCCATGATGAACACACACACACACACACACACACACACACACACCCCAACAGACTGATGTGTGATAATAATTTGCTCCATTTGACTTGGTTCTTAAGGCTAATAGATAACACTGCCCCAGTCACAGCAGCACCACCACAAAGCACATGGCCCCATACACCTGACTGCAAGTGACCCTCTGTGCAGTGATCACCTTACATAACAATATACTGTTCGAACATGAGTAAATATTTTTCATAGTCATAATCCCTATCCATTACAGTTCTAACAACTACACAGCCATTGTTGAAATCCACTCATCATTTAAAGGTAAAAATTGTAATTAGCAAATTGGTGTAAATGTGGTTATAATGATAACAGGCTGCTATTTTTGTTCGAATATAGGTTTATATTTTTTGAATATTGGCTTCCTGCTCGATCGTATAGCCTATTCAAAGTTAAAATAACTATGCATCTAATTAATACGCCTTAATTAATTAACCACAATTAATAGCGTTAATTATCACAATATCACTGAAGTCTGCGTTGATTCCTCATTGTTGCCCAACCCCCTTTTCTTCTTCTCCTGTGGCAGCCCCAGACATCAACCCACACAACAACCGCCGACAAACACATCCGACCGTGAACCAGCGCTCCTGCCTCTGAACACTCTGTTTCCATTTGGTGTAATAATTAAAAACCCTCCGCAGTATTTTTCAATCGAGGAAAATTATGCACAATGCAACGGGAGGCAGGCTGAACGGCCGGGGATGGGAGGAGGAGGAGGAGGAGGAGGAGGAAGAACGGAGAGCCGAGTGAGCCAAGCAGGAAGAGAGAGAGAAAACACACACACACACACAGGCGGGCAGAGCGACTGTCAGTAATTTCTTAAATGTATAAATTTACCTCCAGGCGACTCTACACTTCACGCGATCTGATATGTTCATCTGTGTGTGTATGAGGGGAGGAAAAAATCCACCACAATGTAGGCACTTGCGGATTAAATAGGCCACATGTTACTATTTTTATATTAATGTTAAAATAAAAACGCGTAAAATAGCATCAATAGAAAAAAAAAGTGGGGACGCACACTTTCAGCACACTGGAAAATAAATAAAATATGTACAGCGATGATTAATTCTCTCCACGCCCCCATGCGTAAACGGCTCTTCCAAGCGAGCCCTGTTTGTTTACATGACAATTAGCACGCCAATTAATAGAGCGATTAGAAGATATCAGCTCAACGTTACCTCGCATCTTCACATAAACTCATCTCCCTCTTCTGCTCCATCCGAGCTAGCACCACAATCCCCTACTCTCAAAAAAAAAAACGCTCTCCAAAATGACTCCACAACAACCCAGCAGAAACCTCCTGTCAAATAGGAGCCGTGACTCCAGATTTACTGAACACACTGTTTAGATTCTCCTCAAAATGTCCCGTTTTCTAACTCTTGCCCCCTGTGTGTTTTTCAACCCGTGCGCACACAGATCATGCTTCTTTGCAGGACAAGAGCGCCTCCATCTCTCTCTGGCTCGTGGCGCAGGGAGTCCCTCCTCCGGATCCTGGCGCTCCTACACCACAACACTCATGACGTATCAACATTTCACACACATTTTTCCCAACAACTATTAAAACCTTTTGGACATGCATGGCACCAAACTCGCACACCGCGGTGCACAGGAGGCTGGGACCCGGTCCCTTGGTGCCCCACAACGGCCCCAACTTGCAGCCAGCTCGCCCTGCAGAGTTCTTTAGAGTTTTTTCTTTGCCACCTGATTTAAAAATTGCGGGAAATTCAATTTTTATTTTGCTCTCTAAAAACTTTTTCCTCAGTTATAGGGCTCCCTTACCAAATTTTCGTATGTCCCGGGGTGTTCCTGTCCCGTCCAGTCCAGCCTTATGGGTAGCAGCTGAGATGGAAAAATAGTGTCGACTGTTATCATCCATTTCATAAATGTATCGAGCGATGTTTTAAAATAGTAAATGATAAATCAGAGTAAAAGCAACATCACAAAGTACAGTGCCGAGAGAAGCATCTCTCTCGTATTGCTGACTGCTTACCTCCTTCTCCTCCACCTCCCTTATCAGGGTCTGAAAATAGGATAAAAATACAAAATTACACCCCATGACAATCTCGGACATATTATAAATTATCCTAAAATGCAAAAACACCAACCTCGGCTGCTTTTTGACACGGTCCAGCTTCTAGAAATCGGGCTATTAGGAAGTACAGTTCTGGTATGGTTGGAGGGGGAGAAGAGGACGGGAGCTGCGTTAGAAGAGGGCACCGAGGAAATTGGGGGGATATTACAACAACCATGACATATTTTCCGATCTCCTTTACTCACCAGAAGTCAACTGCGCGATGTGTGTACTGTCTGAAGCCATTTTGGTGTTGTTTGCCAGGGCAGCGCCACAGCCTGTGTAGTGGGTCTAGGTGGCTGCCCTGTAGCTGTCACTGTTTATCCACCAGGAAGAGGCTGCCTCCATTCAGCTCTGCTCACACAAAGTCCCGGCTGCGTCGAGTAGTCTTCCGCGAAGCGACAGTTAGTGCGCGATGCACGTTTTTACCCCGCAAAACACCGTCTTTCCCGACCAAAGATCCCACCGCCGAGGTAGCCACAGCTTCACAAGCCCTCGGGGTGAATTTTAGTGGCGGTTGGTCGGTTGTGGAGGCATGTTTGTTTAAATCCCCCTCCCCCTCAAAAGAAAAAGCGCAAGCCCTCTGCGGAAGAATAAAGGTGGTGTGGTTCAAACACGCCACTGTAGAGGGGAGGTAGAAATGGCAGCCTGCTGTAGGAGAGGACACATTGCTGCAGAATGGCTGTTACTTCGTAGCTAAATTACATTTATCACGTTTAAGTAATTACAGGCTTATATGTCCATAGTTCAAAGTTTGTTGCGGATTAATACAACGTATTTCCTGTTATATATTTTATTTGTATTTGTAGGTGCGGATGTAGAATATGGCTCCCGTGTTTCAGAGGGCTTTACAGCCATCTAAGCGTTTCAGCTAGGTTTTATTAAAAACTGTAGATAGCTATGTTATTTGTGTGTTGTCGTTGGCCTCGCTTGTAATTACTCTGTCGTTATTGAGTAACAAGATGGCTAGCTAACACACCCACTCTCTGGGAGCCGTTTGGTGGGGAAGTCGTCCATTTCTCTTCCTAATACTGGCAGGCAGTAAAATGGGGGAAGGGTTGGAGAAGAAGGGGAATGCAGCCTAATGAATGAAACCTCGTGAGTTTAGGAATTTAATAGCAATGAGACATTTAATGCAAGGTAGATCATCAAGGAAGGTTATCAAGAACATACTGCATGACAGAACACTTCCTCTGTGGTTCACTAGAAAGTTTTGAAAAAGGGAACAACACTAAGGTGTAATTTTCTCTAATTAAATTAGCTTTGTGTAAGGGTGTATTTTATATCTTTAAATACAGGTGTTGTACAGCAGTTGGCCAGCAAAAATCAAGCCCCCAGTCTCTTACTGACCTTATGAACTTCATTTTAGATAAGATAAGATGTTCCATTAATGATCCCCTGTAGGGGAAACTATTTTTTTTAATATGAATCTTTATTTTATTTTAAGTAGGACATCAATGAAAGCAGAAGTGATTAATTACTACTAATTATTAATATTGACACAGTTTCCCCACATTCTGTTGGAAAATGACTCAAGACTACTTTCTTAATTGCAAAACAGACCACCTCCCAAGTAACTCCAAGGCTCTGGTTTGTTAATCATGTGAACCCACTACCTAAAATTCGCTGTGAGAAATATTTTGTTTCTGTTCATCTCAGTAAAAACCCTGTGCATGTGTTTGTATGGCATAATCTACCTAAATAAGGAATTATTTCTAGCACTTTATCATTGTATGTGACTTTCTTTTGATTGAATAGCGTTGTTTCAGAATTCATAGACAGTGGTATAGAAAACGCTCTCCTATTTTTATACTGTAGCACATGTCTCACTTACATCCCTGGCAGAGACACTAAGGAACAGACGCGTTTATGGCTGGGAAGGAAGATTCTGATGATATAAAAACTTGAACAGATGACTGACTAATTCTCTGCCTCTGTTATTTATTGTAGGCACGAATTATACAGAGAATGTGAGCACCCAGGGGCTACACCACCTACCCTTTTTTGTGTACAAAGTGTTCTGTCAGATAGGTAAATGTATTCTCGACTCCAGGAGGAAGCAGTAGGCTTTTTCTGCCCTTTCATTATGTGTCTGTTTACTCTCCACTGAGAGAGTCGGGTCAACTGTGTCGAATTTGCTAATGTCATGTCAGGCTGAGTTTGTCATTTACTCCCATGGGTTTGGATGGGGTGTAATCATACGAAGTACTTGACTGACACACACTTTTACAAAATTGCCATCAAATCCAGGCTCCATGATAATAAGGGGATGCTTGTTTATGACTATTGTTTTTGTATGCTCGTCTCTAGTGTTGCTTGGAATTCAGAGTGAAAGTTCATCCGCTGTACATTAGTCCTGCGTCCATTAGGGAGTTGGTGCCACCTCAGATGTGTCAACCACCTTAAGGATGGTCTCTTTAACCGTCCTGCAATCTGTAAGACACACTTCACAGGCTTTATGGATTGGAAGACCATTGTGACGTGGAGTGAGGCCAGGTTTGAATCTTTAGGCCTTGTCAGTCACTTCCATGTAACCTTTCACCCTGACCCCTCAAGTGTTGTTATTGTGCTGGCTGACACGGCCACAAGGAGGCAACCTCACTCTGTGGCACTTATTTGTGCACGGGGCCACAGAGGAGTCAAAGGTTATGAATAGTGAGAGAAAAGTGATCAGTTACACATTTCATCTGTAACATAAATACGAAATTCTCTGATTAGTAGTGACCACACAAAAACTCCACTGGCCTGTGCTGAGCTTGCTTGAAATGGCACAGTCTATCAGTAAATAGCCACCAGTGTGTTTGTTTATGATAGACCCAAAGATTCTATAACTTCTACAAATGCATTTTCTATTATTTTGAAACCAAATAAATCCACACCTTTTACCAATCGTCCTCCTAAGGATTTTGCCATGACTTGTGATAATGTAATACACAAGAGTTGATTTTATTTTATTTCAGTCTTTCCCTCTGTAACATGTGAATACAGGAAGCTGACATCTTCTGTATATCTTTAATTGATATTGCTGTGGTGTACACATGAATTGCAGAGACTTTAACCATCACTTGGGTACTTGTACATCTTTACTCTAGATTCCATTTTTTTCCATTTGGTGTATGTATTAAAAAATCATATCATCCTAGAGGAGGATTTTGCACTTAGAAAAACAAGAATAATTTTTATATAATCACCACTGTTACACACATTCCAACTGCTTTTACATCTGAGTGAAAGAGGCATCATATTGTTGACCGAGGCCCCTGATAATACATTTTAATTGGCCTCTCCAGTATCTGTGGTATTCAGACATCATCACTCCACACCTCCACATGTTAAAAAAAGCAAACTGGTCCACATCATTGGTCCAGGAGCGTGAATGACGGCTTGTACCCCAATGAGGAGGCCGTATGGTTTAATCAGTCCCACCACTCGGGCAAATGCTGACCTTTCACTTCCTGACACAGCAGTTGTATTTAACACGGCCACGTGCCCCTGGCGACCTCACACATACACACACAGATATACCGGCACACAGCAATGGCTTTGTGTTGGTTTAAAAAGTAACTCTAAACATGAAAAAGAGCTCTCGAACACAAGCGGCATGCATGCATGTGTTGTCTCATAAAGCTTTACAGAGATTACCTGAGTTTTCCATGCAAAAACCAGCATAGGTGAGGGCATACACTTACAGTATGCTAGTGGTTGTAACAAAAAGATGGCATTGCTGTCCAACTAGAGAAAATAAACAATGCAATGCACTATTTACACATCTCTGCACACAGTAGTCTTCATACAGCAATAACAGAAGAGACACAGAAAAACAGAGAAAGTCCCACGTGACATCAACTTTTTCTTTTATTTCAAAATATTCTCCCAACAGGATGAAACTCAGAGAAGTCCAGAGGGTCCAAAGCCAATAGAGCTGTCTAGAACAGAAGCACCACTCATTATTGCTATGTCACTCTGCTGCAGGACAAGGCGTTCGGGGGGGGGGGGGGGGGGGGGACAAACAAAGTGAACTAAGTTAAACAGAGAGGCCCACAAACACATTCACTCCAGCACAGACATACAAAAGGAGCTATGTGAAACACATTGGTAATGATTCTAAACTTGACTGATTGTGATGACTTTTAAAAAGCTGCAGATGTTCTCCATGGCGACTGTGAACCTGGTTTCTTGTAGCTCTGCTCAAACTGCTGTTACACATCCACAAATCCTCACTTTAACCATCAGGGGGGAAAAATTCAAGAGTGCCAATATGAATGATCATCTTTTGTAGAAACTACAGATATAGACAGAGCTGCTTTACAGCTCATAACAGTCGAGTTTACAGCCCCCTTCAGGCAAGATGAAGAACATCTGCAGCAGCCTGATAAAAACGCTTCATTCTGTCTTTCGGTTTCTGAGGCGTGTAGTGATACAGAATGGAGGAGGGAGGAGAATCGAGCAAAAACATACGGCAGGTGGAGGAGCTGAAAGGAGTGTGAACGTATGGGATGGGGCTGCTGGTTGTCCGTCTCTACTATCACAAGTCTAAAAAAAATTCAGCATGGTACAAAAATCGTCAGTAAAAAAAGATGCTTTGCTGCCATGGAGTCAGAAGGGACGAGTCGGTGGACGCATCCGTGTCCTTACGCCTTCTCCTCAGTCGCCTCCTCCGCTGCTTCAGTTACCTGGAGGTGAGAAGAGGGGGAAGAGTTATACAAAGATGCAGGTGTTATCCATCAATATCCTCAAAGAGCAACCCACAACTTTTGTTTTGGTCTGCCACGGCTCAGCAGGCAAGTCTTCAGTGGGCTTAGTAACTAAATCAGCCATATCCAGCTGAGAGATGAAAGGCGGTCTCCTTTACTGAAACATCAACATGAGAATATTTTTGCATCGGCCTGTGCTTAGTATCTCATAAGTAACTAACTTGGTAAACCTGCACCATGGAACAAGACTCAAGTAACAAAAAACAGCAGCTGACAACAAATTAGATCTTGTTTAATGCATACAAAAATGGCTTGCCCACCCCTGTTTCCAGTCTTTATGCTAAGTTAGCTCCTGACTCTAGCTTCACATGTAGCGGACAGCCATGAAAGTCGTATCGATCTTCTCATCTAACTCTCAGCAAGAAAGCGAATGAGCACATTTTGCCCAAATGTTTTAATTTATTTAAAGTATGACTCAGAATTGCTTTGGCCTATTTTCTTTCTTAAATCTATTAAGAGAAGAGTTTAGGTTAAAATGTAATATTTACAGATGAGCTGCTGTGTTTTTTAGACTTTGAAAACGTGGGGCTTCTACCAAGAGGCAGGTTACCTGAGTTATCATAATTATTTTGCTGAGGAAACCGTTTCATATCCGGAATATAGACGTCTGCTTACGGTGGCAGACAGTTTCGCTTTTAAGATTTGTAACTCTGAAATTTAAGAAAATGTGTCAGTAGAAAGCAGTTCCCATGATAACTCTTTACACTGAGCTCTGTGGAAGTGCAAGTGAGAAGAGCCAGGATGAGGAGGATGGAATAGCATTTTGCCATCTTAGCATTTGTGTCTGGCTAAGTACGTTATCTTGTAAAGTTTACCTAAAGCAGCGCTTAACTAAACAGAATAAATATGATACAGCAGAAATATTACTGAAGTTGTCTCATGCCTTGGCTGCAGTGATCTGCACAGTTGATTTCTCGCCTCAAAAAGTGAATATAGTAATGAAATAGCATACAAAAATTGTAAAAATAAAATAAAAGACTTGCAGCCTGTCATTGGACATTCTGAAGTGACACAATACATTATTTTGGGGTGGTTGAGTATGTGCAGTAAGCTCACATTGCATACTCTTGCTAATCTAGTAAACATCCAGGCATTTTTCACATACACAAAATCCACATACTATGCAGTTGGAATACACAACATACTCAATTTGACGTCATACTTAATATGAATAGTACATTAGTACGCAATTCCGAACACAGCCTGTGTGTTACAAACTGCAGGAGCCCAATCCCAACGCAGAGCAAAGGTGAGGCGGGGGTGTTCATGTTCGAGAGGTAAAATGTGTCCACTCAATACAACTTGATGATTGGTCCAGTTTCAAGCTCCTAGCTCAAATGATTATTGGTGAATGTTTCTCTGCTAAAAATCATGTTCGTGTTCACATTATTGAAATATTTTGCAAAGCTCTCTAAAATTCTGCAACTCAAAATACTGATATTTTTACCTCAATAGCTACTTTTTTTGTTGTTGCTCTTTTACTAAATTGCTCTGAAAAGCTCCTCACTGAAAACTCTAGTATCTGCAGGAATCAACACTGACTCAACAAGGGAACCAAATCCGGATGGCGTGACCTCACTGGAGTGAACATCTGTGTATGAACACAGAACCAATCACCTCTGTGTAGGAAGCGAACCCTCCTGCTCGTGAGTAAGAAAGCTGTCCTTGGCCCACTTCACTGCACACAGAAACCAAAATGCCCGACATCCCCACTTCTTCACACTTCACTCATTCTCTCTCTCAAACATGCCACAGCACCCCAAAGCACACTGGGTAAATGTTTGCTAAATTAGCATACAATTTCTGTATACTTAATATGTTAGAGTCTAAACACACACTCCAAAGATTGATTAGCAACACTCGACCGTACCCTTAACTCTGACTGTCTCACTCTGCCCTCTCACTGACATCAAGGAGGGAGCCGTACTTCTGATGGAAGACACACTGACAGACGGACGAGACACATAGATCTGTGTGTGTGTGTGTGTGTGTGTGTGTGTGTGTGTGTATGTGTGTGTCAGCATGCACATGTGTGAGTGGGAAGAGATGTGTATTTGTGTGTTCACGTTTATACACAAATTGACAAAATAAGGAGAATGAAAATCATTATTTCCTTGTCTGTCTCTGAATGTGCATTTTCTTCTTTCATCAAGTTTTTCTTTTTTCAAATTTCCCTTCTCATACCTCATTGGTCTTGGTCTCTCCATTCTGGGCAGGGCCGTCGTCCTTCCTCCCCTTAGCGCCACCTTTCTTTGCCTTCGCCCCCTTATCATCTGCCACCTTCTGAACGGAAGAAAGAAGAACACACAACTGCATAAAAATTACATGACAGCCAATTTCAGGGCTGTCGGTTAGCTCACTCAGTAGAGCACACACACCATATACCAGGGTCCTTAACGCAGCGACCCAGGTTTGAATCTGACGCATGGCTCTTTTGCTGCATGCTCTCCCGCATTTCCTGTTTTTCTTCAGCTGTACTATTTTTTTTGCTAAGTTTCACCAAATATAATCTTTTAAAAAAGAGCGTATCCAGTGAAACTGATCTCAAACTGGATTTTAACAGTCTGAAACATACTTTCCCCCCCTCTTCTATCTCCTTCTGCAAAATAACACCATTTGCCATATGACTCTCATAATAGAAAGGGAAGACATACATGTTGATCATGCTGCAGGTCACCCACAGTTCGTCAAACTTATAATAAATCAGAAAGAATGGTTTTGCTGCAAAATTATGCTTTTATTTTACCTTCAATATTTCAAATAGATTCAAATTAATTCTGGATTTTTGGCCAAATACTAAACCCTGAATACTGTAGGTGCAAAGTATGTTTGCATGTAAAGAGGTCTGTGTGTGTGTGTTTTTTGTGTTTTCCACATCCAGCGGCCTTGGCCATGCACAAACTAGTAGTGAGGGGCAACAGAGTGCCTGAGACTGTTGCAAATTTGTGGGGATAGAAATAAATGATTCTAGGCGTAGTTGCGTGTATGTGTGTGTGTGTACTTTACCTTGACGATGGCCTTCTTGGGCTTGGCCTCAGCCTTGGGTGGAGCAGGCTTCTGCAAATTAGGCAGATGTCACTTAGGACTGGCCAACACAGTGCATCGTTTTTGGAGAAATATTAGTTCATCTTTAGTTCCCCCTCCTCACTACACTTACAGAGCCATTTCTGTACTGTTTAATTTACTAATGCTTTAGCCACAAGAGCTGCTTTGAAAATTCATTAGGACTAATACAGAACATATGGAGGCTTGGAATGTCTGCACTAGCTCTCACTGTAAATATTAATATTCATCTAGTACTGAGCAATGGGCTCTGACAATATTCCTGTGCTAAGTCGTTTTAAATATCTGCCTCTTCTCAAAGGGAACTGACCTCAGACCACGGCACAATGACTATATCAGATGGGAGTTAAAACTGTGGCCACTCAGTCTAGAGCAGGTTTGCTTTCCAGACTGCTGACTGTGGACCACATTACCCTGAAGCCACGAGCTACAGAAACACTGCTGTGACAAATTTAAATCATGTGATTCTTACTCAGAATATCTCTGTTTTGCTTTAGAAAACACTAACATGAGGCGATAAATGAAAGACTAAAGAAATTCTCTAAATTCTTACACTGGGGGAAGTGTTGGATGTAGGAAAGACTTTGGAAAAGAAAGAACTATACTTTTTGCCAAGCAGTCTAAATTGTAGCCTATAAACAACATGGCAGTGCTGGTTTACTGCTTAAAAAAAGACATCTTATTAAATAAACTGACCACCAAATGAAATATCAACTCAGAAAACTTGCAAAGATTAACTGTTGAAAAGTGTCACATCAAAAGCTTAAAGGAACAGGTTAACATTTTGAATTTTGGGATCTATGGTTAGCTTAGCTTAGCATCAAAACTGGAAACAGGGGGAAACAGCTAGCACAGTGACTTCCTAGAGTCTCCACAGGTCACCTGACCAAAAAATAGTCCAGCACATAACACCCCACCCCCTGTAAAACGTTGTTGTTCTTTTTTAACCATTGCACAATAATACCTGTTTCCAGTCTTTTTAAGCTCAGCTAACTGGCTGCTAGCTGATGGCGTCATATCTAGCCTACAGACATAAGTGTGGCATCGATCTTCTCATCAAAGTCTCAAAGCAAGTAAGAGAATAAGCATATTTCTTCAAATGTAAAAGTTGTCCTTTAAAGTGCACATGCAAATGTACAAACACATGCAGAGACTCAATGCAGACGGGTTCAACATGCAAAGTACAACACAGATAAAAACACATGGCCTGTACGGTAGAACTGCATGATCACATCAAAATTATACATTTGCTAGGTAATATTAGCATGATTATTATCTGTATGTATATCTGTAAGTACTTTTACTGGGATTCGGGGAACAGTTTGAGCATTCTGAATGCAAATTGGACATTTTCCATGAATACTGTAGTTTTGGTTAAGCATGTATAACAAGTATAGCAGGGGACCCAAGTAAGAAAAATGCTTTATTGTTACTGATGATTTTCTACACTCATTTACTGTTGGAATATTCAAATGAAATATGCAACCTTTTAATCATGCAGCCCTACACATTAACAAGGTGTTTTAACAGACCAGACTGAGAATGGATAAAGACAACAGAGAAAAAAACATGCACACCAAGCCAGGCGCAATCCTCAAGGATCATGTTTATGGAATTTGTAAATTGCCTTGATCAAATCCATAAACTGGGCGAGGACTTCACTCTGAGCCTTGGTGATTTCACATTTACTATCCCACAAGACTGAGGCGGGATGACGGGAAGGCAGCGAGAGGAAGAAGAGGACAGTGACAGAGGTGAAGACAGGGAGGGGAGAACGAAACTTACCGCTGACAATCTCTCTGACCTTCTGGTGGGCTACCGGAGCAAAGGATGATCAATGAGAGAGAGAGAGAGAGAGAGAGTGAGAGAGAGAGAGACAGTGACAGAGAGAGAGACAGGCAGATATCAGTTGTACCTTTGCGGGCTGATCTTGAGCTGATCTGCTTGGTGACTGCTACAAGTGTCCTAATCATTAACCTTTCTTGTGTCTATTGTGTCACTCACACAAACTCTCTCTCAGTACAAAAAAAATAAAAATACACAGCACGCAAACACACATCTGCAATCCCACACACAGCACACAAACACAACTGAAATAATTACCTCTTGCTTTGTGACTTTGGAGGTCTCCTTGCCCTCGGGACCCTCTGGAGACTGTAGGGAATGCAGCAAAGAATGGAGAGACTGTCAGCAGAGTAAGTGAAGGTGCACATGCAAAGGGCAGCCCCCCACCAACCCACTGATATGACATATAAGCCCTCTAAAGTTGAGAATTTTTGCTATTCAGAATATTGTTTCCTGGGTGTTTTCATCAGCCATCATCAATACGTTTTAATTCCTAATTTATAAAAATTTACATTAGATTTGGTTCAAAGAGTTTACTCTGTTCAGTTGTGCATATGTATCTTATCCTTTCTGTGGAGTAACATAGGCAGCCAGGACAGGTAATAATTATAATAATATTAATAATAAAAAATATAGCTTTGGAAAAAGGTATTAAGGTTATACACTGACATAAAAAGTGTTTGAGGTTCCCTTTTCTATAGATCAACTCCTTGTCTCTTGAACAGAAATGCCACTTAGGCTACTAATAATACAATAAAATGTGTATGTTAAACAGTTGGTCAATTAATCAGTTTTCAACAGAAAATTAATCTGCAACTGTTTTGATAATCAAATCAAAAAGTTTAAATAATTTTATCAAAATCAAAAAATTCTTCACAGAACTTCACAGGCTCCACTTTCTCTGTTGAGAATATGTGCGGTTTTCTTTTTCTTTTATGACAGTAAATTGTATATCTTAGAGCAATGGACTATTGGTGGAACAAAATGAAGACATCAGCTTGGGCTTTAGGATACAGTGATGGGATATTTTTGCATTTTCATCATGAAAATAACTGGCAGATTTATTGATGATCAGCCCTGTGCCAAACACTAAACTTACACTTTTTATAACACAAAACTTAGTTACAAAGTCCTGTGCTTTTAATAAAATCATACAAATTAACAAAACAATTATCAGCATAACAGACAACACAATAAGTTCTTTCTTATGCTTCTGGTAGCATACTGATTTACTAACATATGGTCAGGTGGCCTATTAGAATATTTTATTCATATATTAAGAATTTTAAAACAGTAATAACAAATAATAAATAATTAAATTGTAATTATTGTATTTTATGGATCGATTTATAATTTTGTATTTTGCTTAATAATATAACCAATAGATAATGATGTAATAAAAATCATCATTTTAATGCGAAATTGTTTAGAGATACCCCCGCACCAACTGCAATTTTATGTTATGCGATGATGACATATGATCTCTCTGGTGATTACCATTTTAATGGAGGCAGCCTGTTTACATGCCAAGCTCCCCCCTGGAATAATGGAATATAAACATGGATTCATTTACACGCGGTTATGACTGATGACACACCCTGAGGGCTGTCAGGCTACATTTGGATGATCATATGATGAACATGTTCTTCGGGCTGCAGGCAGGTAAGGGTAGTGTACAGGAGAGCCCACCCCCATCATGAAAGAAAAAATGTTGGTTTAGCCTGCAGGTTGGCAAGCGCATCATTTGCATATGGGCGACCTCCGCCCCTAGAGGCCTCCCATTCTCTGTCCTCAAAGGCGAAATCTGCGCAGACAATGGCTTTTTTGGATGGTAGAAAAGCCCATTTCCATGTATGCACTGATACAATGCACCAGAGCTCGTCGTGCAATGCTGTTTAGATAATGTCACGGCCTTTTTTTAACACGGCGGCAATTGTCTCTGATCCCTTCTGTCTTTTTTTTTCTCTCTCTCCATCTGGATATGGGTTTGTTCACTCGGCTTGGCGGCTACCGTTCACCCTCATCGGGGAACCAAATTGAGACAGGGAGGTGGGGATCTATTTTTCACTGTTAGATTACACATTATTCGATATGTCTCATACATGCGCGAAACGCGCCTAGAGGAATTATCATCACGCACGTCTCCTACGGGATTTACGCATCCATCCATCCGGCGGGTCCGTCTGACATTCACCAGTGCGCACAGTGGACAGGGAAGTGGCAAATAACACGACCACAAGAACGGCCATTGAGATGGCCACAGGGATATTAATAGTGTAAATAGAAAAGATATCATTGTAGAAATATCTAATCTACACGCAAAGACGCGTTAAATACCCATGAAAGGTTGCGTTTGAAAAGACGCTTCCTCAAACTTTGGAATCACCTCACCTGCCTCGACGTCGACACAGTAATCGCGCACCGCTATTTTCCTCAAATGCAAGAGCAGAAAAACTACAGTGAAGTGAGCCTGATGGCACAAACGACACTCACCTTTCTCTTCGGCATTTTACCAGTGAATTATTCTCCACCAAGCACGGAAAAATTAAGGTCAGCCCCGGAGGTCCAAGAGAGACGAATTTGAACTACCTCGAAATACAGGATCAATATCTAAGCACCTTCGATAATATGTTGATTATATGCACTCCCCAAAACTCTATACCTTCCACAGCCATTGGATAGAGGGGTCAGAATCCTCTCCTGTGCTGACTCCCGATTGGCTCTTCCCGTCCCTATGTAAATGAGACAGTCGCGGCTATTGGCCGAGATGCATCAGAGGGTGTGTGTGATTGGCTACGCGCTCTTTGTGCGCAGATCCCACCAGACTGCGATGGCTGAGAGGGAAAGTGGAGACAGGCCAATGAAAGCGGGGCCGACTCTCGGCGGATCTGGGTAATGTAGGATGAGAAAGAGAGACAATGTTGTAAATAAAACACAAAGGACCAGAAAAACTGGCACAATGGCACAATGTCGGCCATAGACGGGCTCCAGAAAAGCTGGTGTGCATTGTGTCTTGTAGGGTTTCCTCTGCTATAAAGAACTAGAAATAGCCCATCACTGCAGAGGCACCAGTCCCTAGGAACATGAGACAGTAAAACAATACAATGAATAAGGTCACTATAAATTCAATATTGCAGACAAATTAGACATGTGATTTGTTTCATCACTTTATTTCATGGGAGAATAAAATAACAGAATGTCAGACAGGGTTTACAAATAGGTTTAAGGCTAAATTGTGCCCAAATACATTTCACGTGCAGTGGTACTTTATTTGAGTTGGTCACTATACTAGTCAGAATAAAATGAACCTAATAACTCGAAAGAAAACCTTTAAAGAGCTAAAACTCTTATACCAGGACACAATATTGTGTTAATATGTATAATGTGTTTGTGTACATATTATAAGTCTATTATAAGTCTCCGTCACATTATAAACACTTACCACAAGATTCCTTGTCTCATCCAGAACCACCACTAAACAGGAATGTTCAGTGTGTTAAAGTACATGCATTAATAAGCACGTTAGAAATATATATTTTCAAAACAGAGGAATGGGTTCCGCCCTTGACACTGAACCCTCGTGAGCAAATACTAGGATACGGATTCAGTGGTCTGTATGATACTCATACAGATACCTCATCTCTGGGCATCTGCTGAAACTATGTGACAAAGACAAAGAAACTGCATTTAATGCAGATCGCTCACATTGTGGCCGAAGCTTCATCCACTAATCCGGATGTATCGGATCTGTGCATTGCTGGTAAATACTGTAAATCACCCACTTTTTTGAAAACTTAATGGGCAACCCTGATAAGGTATAAACCCAGAAGGCAACCCAGTGAGGCTGATGGACCTGAGTGCATGTGGCTACCAAGCCTGCCGTCAGATTGGTTCACAGGGGTGTAAGAGATGGACGACTGCATCAGCACTTTTTGCTCAGAGTTCTTTGTTTATTAGTTTGTTTTTTAAATTAGGATACGTCTCTGTCCTCATGGGGCACTTTCATGCCTAAGTTTCCCCCCAAAATTACAGCACACTATTCAAATAAACTTTAATGCACCTTGAAGGGCCAGTTGGGGCTTTTAACATGCAGTTAAACTACTGGGTGACCAATATGGGTTTTTCAGTGGCGGATGCCGATGCCGATATATAGAGAGCCAGGTGACCTATATATAATGCCGATATCAAAACAAAGAAAAGTCATTTTAAGTCATTTCAAGTATTGGCCGATTAGCTCAGCCTGGTTGTTCGGCTTACCAATTAATCAGTCTATCACTAGTTCATAGTACGTCAGGTATCAAAGTGTTTGTCTGCATGAAGAGTCCATGTGGTCAGACATTTTGGCTGGTACGTGGATGGGCCACACGGACTCTCATGGACATGGGCAGATGATAAAATACAATCTCAAAGACCCCCACAGACATGCGAAAGGTGTAAATTGGACTTTATTAAGCCCAAGTGCCCCTACGATCAGCCAAAGAGGCATCAAGTTTTGATCTGGTAAGCCTAGGTGCCCGCCGGTTGGCCCAGATTAGCCTCAAGTCCCAAAAGTGCCTTCCTGGGCCCTTTTTGGTGCTGACACAGGTGCTTGTTTTTTTGATTTTGTCCCTGCACCTTAGATGTTTTGCTTCAGTTGCCCCACATAGCAGATTTCACAGGATACAAAATCTCTCTGTGAAAACAGACTGAGTGCAATTGTGCTTTCAGAGTCTCCAGTTTAAATCAGGACCCTCATGAAGGCCATAGAATATTCCATGCACCAATTTGTGCCTTGACTCCAATTTGTCTATAGAGTTTAAATGTAGGGCTCCAACTAACAATTATTTTTATTATTGATTAAACTGGCAAGGTGATGTCTTTAAATTGTTTGTCCAGAAAATGGTTAAATTTACTATCATGTCATATGTTATAAAGAAATACAACAATTCCCATTTAAGAAGCTGGTGCCAGAGAATGCTGAGTCAGAGAATGAATCTTGAAAAATAATTATTCAATCATTATCTAAATAGTTAGCAGATAATGTTCAGTCAATTGACTAATCAATCGATCAGCTAATTGTTTCAGCGGTCCATTGAGTCTTTAACAGGCAATTTATTTGTATTTATGAAGGTTTTACAGTTTAGAATATCTGAATATTTGTTGTGAAATTATTTTTTTAATTTAAATGTTTGTCATTTGCTCAGTTTACAATAACAATCAGTCCATCCAGCGGTATGGACATTCTATCAACCTACCTTGCAACAATAATTATCTAGAATCTCTTCTATTAATGGCCTTCATCATATTCTACAATGTTTAAGTGTATACCTTGCAGCAAATATCACTCCATTTTAAACATACAACGCCAAAAAACATTTTACAAATAAATCAACAAAAGCAGCTTCAACATTCTTGTGTAACATCACAATAGACAGAGAGACAGCTACACCATCTCACAAAAGACAGAGCTTTCCTGCCCAAACAAACAAAACCCTTCATGTCTACATAGGTGTGACACAACAGTTTAGAAGTCGACCCCAGAACACACAGGAGCAGGTAGCTTGATGACTGCTCCACTGTTCCCAACATAGATTCACACTGTCAGCTAAATGGAAGGCAAAACACAATGAGGCACATGTACACCACATACATACATAACATAAAAGAAAGACACAAAAGGAATCCACACTGAAAAGAAAAAATCCCAAAATTGTTACGCTTGAAACTTTTTATTCACATTACAAACATTTCTTTCACACAACTGATGATGAGTTTACCAGTACTTTTCTGTGTGTACATTTTCTCTTGTTTGTACCCTTTTGTCTCCTGTTATGTTCGTCGCATGTGGTGCTTAGTTTGATTGACTTCACACAATACATTATGGTTTCACTTTTAAAAATGAAAGCATTAATGACTGAATGAGGTAATTAAAAAAAAACATATGCACCAAATAATTTTATTGTTTATGAAACTGAATATTCTATGAATATACTCAAACAGGTCTACATGTTAGGGGCTCTGTGAGGCTGGAGGCCTACTTAGGCTAACATCGGCATGCTAACATGCTCACAATGGCAGTGCTACATGCTACATGCTGATGTTTAAAATATGTTTACCATGTTCAGCATCTTAGTTTAGCATGTTAGCATGCTAACATTTTCTAATTAGCACTGGGGGAATATACAAATCATCCTGGGGGGAATATTCATTGAGACATTTCACTTAAAACTACAAATGTCAACCTGCTGGTGGTGCTAGTCAGGGGATCAGCAAAGTTGGTATGAATCATCCACTGGGGACTAAGAATATCTGCTTAAAATTTCATGGTAATTCGTCCATTGTTTGTTGTGATATTTTAGTCTGGACCAAAGTGGTGGACCAACCAGCAGACATGCTGACAGACCGACTTTGCCACCCAAAGAGCTATGCTGCTAGCATGGCTGAAAACGATTGGAGCCGTGCACTGTTTCGCATTTTGTGTATTTAAGCATGTATGATGGTGTGTGATGTAAAAGTCCTATGAATAATTATCCTACTTAAACTAATTATAGTGTCCAGAACCAGCCTCATCCCATAACCACGCGTTTATAGGCTATAGTGTTGCATAGAATTCCTGCTATTAAACGCAAAAACATGTTTGTCATCATATTGTAGTGACACACATTTCACTTAAAATTGTCCAAATGCCTGAAACACTTCAGATAATTGTTGGATCAAAACTTTTTACAGTGAAATAATGAGTTAGGTCCTTTCTCTGGGGCCCTAAGTAGCAGGTTTCTTTAAAAAAATCTTAGGTTAAATGTTCTTTAGTAAACCTTATTTACACCTTTATAACCAGTCACTTAAACTACTACAGTGGCTTTCTGTTTGGCCACTTGAAACGTGCTGTTTAGTAACTAGAATAAATGCAGAATTTCCCAGTGTTATGACTCAAACTAGAGAATATAATCCCAATCCTCCAGTCTCCAGCGGCCGAATGTGAGGGTTAGAATAGATTTTAAGATTGTCATTATTGTGTTCAAAGCACATAATGGCCTTGCTCCATACTATCAGACATGCCTGGTATCTGCACCGCGTTCCTTAGGAAATGCAGCTTTTAGCATTTATGCTCTAAATGTGGTCTAAAAAGCTAATCACAAATCAAACTCCAGATACTTGTTTTTAATCGCATGCATATATATATTGAATGTTTATGTAATTTGACTATACTCATGCAGGTGCTCACTGGCAAAATCCCACTGATATATACAAAAGGTTGACAATGTAAAGTAACAGCTTCCGTAGGCTAATCCCTGGAAAAGATTCTTCAAGTCTATCAAACACCTCCTGATTGATGGAACAACATTAAAATATATTCCTTATTTAATGTTGATGTTATGATGGTGGTGCAGAGCCCTGTCTAATATATATCTCCAAATTTTACTATAGATGTTGGGTTGGGTTGAGCTCCGGTGACTGTAAACCTCTACAGAATGGTCATTTTGATGCTCATCAAGCCATTCAGTGACCCCTCGTGCCCTGTATGGAGGCATCTGCATTTGTTATGTTTCTTAACATTTATTCAGATGTCTTATTTATTTATTCACATGTCTGTATGATAAATGCTTTAGAAATAAACCCAATGTCATATTAGACTTCTGTTTAAGCCCTCTACTGTAAATAAGCAGCACATAGAGACCTACAGAAATACAGTAAATGACAAAACAATCCCATCACAAGGTCCATTTATCAGCTGTTCTTGGAGCATTTGATCACCTCACATGATCATGAGCCGATGGAGTTGCCCTGTTGTCCCAGAATTATGGATGCTCAGCATCCCACTATTCTGCTCACTTTAAGGACTCATCTGTGTTGGCTTCTTTTTTGACCTTGGAAACAGTTTCAAAACAATCTCACTTCTAGGAACATTTATTAGCTGTTCTGAAGCTTTCCATCAATCATAAATCAAAAGCATGAAAATGGACATTGCAAGGAGAGAATTAAATCGATGCAGTATTGAGCATTAGTGAGATGATCTCTGTAGAGACGGAGGAGCAGTAGGTCAGAAACAGCTTCACAATGCAGCGTCAACACTGAGATGCCATCTTTCTTTTAGACAGACTGTGAAGCCCGACTCTGGCTACTTTTAGACAGTACTTGCCTGACACCCTGTGGACAGAGTTTGTTATTATTGTTGCAGGGCGGATATTGCATTGTACTTCAAGGAGTATCATAATGTAAAAAAAATTGCTGACGGATTTAGGGCAACAATGTCTTTTGAATGTCACTATTTTTGGCAGAGGATCTTTTGAGTGCAGATTTTTCTGCCTTTACGCCCTTTTACTGTAACACCCTGCACACTGACCAGGGAAAACCAACGTTTTATTTATTAAATGTGTCTCCTTAAAGCAAAATGATTGTAACCTGGCTGATACCAAGATGTCTATTTATAACAACCCCCCCCCCCCACACACACACACACACACACACACACACATACACACACGCACGCACGCACACACACTTCCTCAGTCTAGATTACGTCATTAGGACCTGCGTACTTGTCGATCGCGGTGAATTTGTGGGGATGAGCAGCTCTACATGAAGCGAAGTATGCACTTGCAGGAAACACCGGTCTGCCCTTTGTCTTCAGATGATCTGCTTTGGTTTCACATCTGTCAATAAAACCGACAGAAAGGGAAAAAACCCTGCAGGACTTCCGTCGGGTATAAACGAGTCCGGCTGTTAATATCGGTGTGCAGCGGTAGGCGAGCCAGTGCAGGATCAGATAACGAGGTAAGCTTGTTGACAGCAGAGTGTTTCGCGTTTTGTATTTGTGCGTTTTTCTGCCTTGTTGTCGCTTCATCTAATCCACTAATGTGAAGTAGCCTCGCTGCTGTGTGAGGTTGTCTTTATTGTTGCAAGCTGCGTGTTTTAGCTGTTAGCTCTGCCGCACCACCGCTAAAACACAGACGCTATTTCCAATTTATGTGACTGACTGTGAGTAGGAAGGCTGTCATTAATTCATTTGTAGTTTAGTCTTATAGTTGCATTGCAGTCGTTTAATCCTCAGCATGCAACATTTCCAATGACATCATTGCTGCCCTGACCTGTTAGGCCTAATGTTTTCAGTGCTAATGTTAAGGGCAGCTCCTGTCTCACACCATGTTATGTAAAGCCAGATACATCACAACAAGACTGGTCATTGCTTGGAGCATCTTAGTATCATGAAAGAGCTTTTAAAGCTGTATTACATTGATATTATATTGCATTTTCTGACTTCATCTGGGCTATTCATTAATCTGTCTTTCATTAGTCAATCACTTTTCTGAGAAATGTATTCATAATTAACCTATAAAATGTAAGAAAAATTCCCAGGGCCCAAGGTGACATCTTAAATTATTTGTTGAGTCTAAAACCCAAGGGTATTCAATTTACAATATAATAAAAGCACATTTTCATATTCATCAATTTTTGCGGAATAAATGGCTAAAATGAGTAACTGATTAAAGAGTTGTGACTAAATAAATATTGTAACAATAAATCGTCAGCCCTAATGACATTAATTGAGTAATGTTGTGTAATGTGATAAAACAATAATTATCACATTATTGGTTCAGAGTCATTTGGACGCAAATGCAATAATAATAATAATTTTTATTTATAGGCGCCTTTCAAAACACTCAAGGTCACCTTACAAGACAGAATGAAACAACAGTATAGCAATAAATCAATAAAATTAACAAAGACCAAAAGTACTGAATCAAATTCCTCGTTTGTGTACTGTTGCATTTTCCAGATTTTGAGAATGGAGAGGCTTGGTCCAATGAAAATTAACAAAAGATTTAATGACAAAATTGGTGAATAAATGATGGCATTACAAAAACAAAAAAAAACACTGCACTGGACTGAAGATGCTTCTCCTTCAAGATTTACAGCTTACAGTCCTGATTTTTACAAAATAGTATGCTTATCTCCTCTAGGTATGTAGGTGGGTCCTTTTTCCCCTCATATAGCTTAGGACCATAGTCACTGGTCGTTTGGTAGGTTTTTTCGTCACCCACTTAGGAAGGGTGTACCATTATTGTTCTGAGTTACTTTTGATCAGACAAAAGAGCGCCAATCTCAGACGTGAAACCCCCCTTCTATCTACAGGAACAAACAGTCTTTGCTCTAAACTAATCATACAGAACAACTGTCTCCACAACGGTCAACACCTTTATGGAACAGCTAAAACAAAAGAATCCTTCTGGCACTAGTCAAAGAGGTGTCAGTTTTCTTCACATTACAAAGAGGAGGCCAACAATGATTTAATCAACATTCTGATGCAATCGTCTGGCCTAAAATCCAGCAGTTTACATTTTAAGAAAGACAGAAGAACTGAAATACATTTGGTAAATACAACTTTCTAAACTCTACAAATCCCCTCCTTTCACACCATTTATTGGTGTGTAAGTACACATACCTGGCAATAAAGCTGATTCTTAAGTACAGTGCTTAAAATTGGGGTACATAAACAATTAGAAAGTAAAGATTGCTGTGACCAGAAGAACAGTGATCACGTTGGATAAGCTAGTTTAAAAAGATGTGTTTTCAGGCAGGATTTAAAAATGGAAAGCAAGTCAATGTTACGGATGTCTGGTGGAAGGGATTTCTAGAGACGAGGGACAGAGTGGCTGAAGGCTCTAAACGCCCTAGTGGTCAAACGGGCAGGAGGTGCAGTGAGGTGAATGGAAAAAGACCGAAGAGTATGGGTGGGTGTATTTTTATGAATGAGGTCAGTGAGGTACAGAGGAGCGAGACTGTGAATGGCCTTGAAGGCCAGGAGCAGAATCTTGAAAACAATGCGGTATTTAACTGGGAGCCAATGAAGCTGCTGAAGGACAGGAGTGATATGATTAATAGAAGGGGTTCAGGTGATCCTACGAGCAGCAGAGTTCTGAACCAGTTGAAGTTCATGTATGAATATGAGAGTAGAACAAAAGAGACAAGAATTGCAATAATCACTGTGGGATGTAGCCAGGGTGTGAACGAGAACGGCTCTACTAGTAAAAACAATTTGCAAACATCTCAGTTTTGCACAACTTGTATATGTAAAAGGAAGTTCACTAAATGGCCCAATGTCTGTGGATACTTGAACAAAGTAGGTTGACCCCAGAACGTTACACACGCTGTTTTTGCTAAACATCTAAATTCAGAACCATAGGCATTCATATGGAGGTGAAGTTGGCCACTGTTGTGTGGAGGCCTAGATAGCAGGACCGCAGAGGTTTACCCAAACTCTCACCACAAAGTTGGACGTTGAGCCAAATGAATTGTCAGTTAATCAATTAGTCGGTCCACTGCAAAATCATCTAACTGAACTAGCTTAGAAATGAACTAGATTAATCAATTATGAAAATAAATTAGTTGCAGTTGGAGACACTATTGTCTAAAGTATCATTGTATGCTGTAGCTTCCTTTAACTGGAACTGGGAGGTGTTGGCCAAACCACCAAAACAGAATTACACACTCATATGTGAGCAGGGTGTTCATATGCTTTTTTCTTCTAGATAAGAGAGGTTAATTGCTCAACCTCACTGAGCTCTTACTAAGCAGTTCTTCTGTGTGTTTGTAGGTTGTCTCGTCACACACCACACTATGCTGGGCTGCTTTCTGCGTGGAGGCTGCAGTCCTCTGGTCTGCTTGTGGGCCCTTCTGCTGCCTCTGGTCTCCCTCAATCGTTTAAACCAACACAGTCGCAGAGGCCACAGTGTGAGGGACCGGCCAAAGCTGCTGCTCGTATCCTTCGACGGCTTCCGCTGGGATTACATTGATCGGGTCCCGACGCCGAACTTCCACACCCTCATAAACGAGGGGGTGACGGTGGAGCACGTGGAGAGCGCTTACATCACCAAAACCTTCCCCAACCACTACAGCTTGGTGACGGGGCTGTATGCCGAGACGCATGGCATCGTGGCCAACGAGATGTACGACCCCGCTCTGAATCGGTCCTTCTCCATGGAGACAGACAGTATTTATGATTCACGGTGGTGGGACGAGGCGGTGCCTCTCTGGGTGACCATCCAGAAAGCTGGAGGGCGGAGCGGGGCAGCGATGTGGCCAGGCTCTGATGTGAAAATCAATGGCACGTTCCCCAATGAATACCTCCTGTACAATGCCTCAGTCCCCTTTGAAACTAGAGTGGAGCGGGTTATTGATTGGTTCTCTGCACCCAAAGAAGAAGCAGTGGATTTTGGAGTTCTCTACTGGGAGGAGCCAGATGAGAGCGGGCACAATCTGGGACCTCAGAGTTCCCTCATGGACGACGTCATTGCCGGGATTGATGAGAAGCTCGGCTTCCTCATGAACGAGCTAAAGAAGGCAGCGCTGTTTGAAGAAGTGAACCTGATAGTGACCAGTGACCATGGAATGACTCAGCTTTCCACTGAAAAGATCATAGAATTGGATGTGTACGTGAGCAGAGACCTGTACACCTGGGTGGACAAGAGTCCTGTCGTGGGAATACTGCCCAAAGAAGGTATCATTTTAAAACATGTCACATTCAGTGCTGTAAATAAACTTGATTAAAGTTATGGAGCGGCGGTTCAATCCCCGGCTCCTCCAGGGTGCATGTTGAAGTGTCCTTGGGCAAGATACTGAACCCTGAATTGTTCCACCATCGTATGAATGTTAGTTTCTGTTTGAGTACTTGGGTTCAGTGAATGAATGTTGAATGCAGATGTACTGTAAAAAAAGTCGAAAAGACTAGAAAGGTGTTATACAAATACGGAGCATTTACATTTAAAGGAACAGTCTGACATTTAGCAAAATATGCTAATTCGCATAGAAGAATACCACTGTCATGTCTGTCCGATAAATATGAAGCTGCAACTCGGAGCCAGTTAGCATGGCGTAGCATAAAGAGTGGAAACAGGGAGAAACAGCTAGACTCCGAGACTCTAAAGCTCACTTATTAACATTTTATACAAGTAAGTTTAAAGACGACAATCTGTCGTTTCATTGGGGGTTTTGAACTGGACTGGACATGTGCAGTGACATTCTAGCTAAGCTGGCTGATGTGGACAGACATGAGAGTGGTACTATTCTTCTTATCTGACTTTCGCTAATAAGCCTGTTACCCAAAATGTCGAATGATTCCTTCCTTTACATAATGTTCTTGAAGAGGAATATGTTTGTGGTCAGTACGAGAAATTCTAAAATAAGCACAGAATCGCCTTTTCTGTTTAAAAATGCTAAGGTAACCAATTTTGGTGATTTGTATTTTCTTTACTATATACATAAATATTGACGGAATTACTAAAATGTTGAATTTCTTATTTGCTCCTTGTGCTGAAATGCAATTTTTGTATCTGTGGATAAATTCTTCCATTGCTGGTCATCTGTCTTGCAGGGAAGCTTGACGAGGTGTATAGTAAGCTGGTGGATGCAAACCCGAACATGGTGGTGTACAAGAAGGAAGACATTCCCGAGCACTTCCATTATCAACACAACATCAGGATCATGCCCATCCTCATAGAAGCCAAGGAGGGCTGGACCATCATGCAGAACAGGACCGGGCCCTTCATGTGTACGTATTCAAACGTCATAAAGCTGTGTTGAGACAATATCGTGGTTTGTGGCTGTACACGTTAAACAGGTTCCAGTTGTTTCAAACAGCAGGTTCTGCATGCTCTATTAATAGATTCACAGGAGATTTTTTCAGTCATTGAACCAAAGCTAGCTCCTGATATTCCAGCTGTAATTAACAAAGAACGGCAGATGTGTTTTCCCTTGGAAACCGCAGGAGTGTATGTGTGTGTGTTTCTGGGTTTGGAGGTTTGTCTTTACCCAAACACCTCCACTTCCAATTAGAAACTCAAACTATGTATCACAGAGTTTTTCATTGCAGCCGCAGACTACATCAGCTCGTCCTACTGCTTAATCTTTCCTCTCTTGTTGAAGGCTTGTTAATCAGTAAAATGACCTGGTGGAGTCTGCGGCTGGAAGGAAAACCTGCTGACCTGCCTCAGTGACAACGTGGTGGGAGAATGCTTAGCTAGATGTGTGAAGTACGATGCTGTCCTGCATATGATAGCAGTGACATCTTCAGCTTCTCAGTGCTGGAGACGCTGAGGTATATTAATCACAGCAATGTTCACTTATTAATGATTATAATCGGCTTATGTGTACTGGACCTGCACTTCCTGGTGGCTAAAGATTAATGGTCACATTACATTTCTGCCCTATGAGTTTTCACTTTCTCCTCTGCTTACTTAAATTCAAGACTGTACGACAGATGAATTTAGGCTCAGTTTGGAAATGGAGAAGTTACTATTCTAGCGCACTTTCTATGTGCATCTTTGGGGTCTAATTAAATAAACATAATGCACATTTCCTCATTTGCAAAGCCAATTTTAAAAAAATATTTTAAACCCTACATTATTTACATCCTTGTTACTTGCTAGCTGTCCCCTTCCTCCCTGCCTTTGTTGGAGTATTGCTAAGTTTCTTTGCATGTAATGCCTGGGCCACACCGCCTACCTCCACCTTTGCGCAGGCATGGGGCAGTATTTATGATACATGTATTTAAAATACGTATTTCAAATATAAAATTAAAAAAATTGAGCATTAGTTTTGTAATGTGTATTTGATAGGGTCAATGAAAATAGCTTCATATATTGTAATCAAAATATTTTAATGTTTTGTATTTTGTAGTTTAGAAATACTGTATAATACTTAGTGAGAAGTTTACGTGATTACATCATGAAAACGCTGCCTCTCATTGTCGCCTACTGAGTAATTTGCCCATACTTGTCGAGATTGGAACAGAAAATGAATCCAGAAGGTCAAGGTAAAAAACGCATAGGTCACCAGCTTTCCATCAATTTTTAGCATAAGTTGCTACAATTCTTAACAGATCCTGTAATGTTTTTGTCTGTTTTAGTAGACTAGGCTTAATCATTTACCAATTCACCTAAGCAGTCCTCACAGTTAACGTTAGCTTTCTATTTTTTGTTGGTGTTTCAGAGTTGTTGTTGTACAACATTACCTTACATTATATGACACACAAGATGGTGTATCTTGTTAAATGCACTGACCTGTGCTATATTGTTAACAGTGTTGTGCTGCAATGCCATTAAACAGCAGGTTGTCAACCCATCAAGCACTTGTGGGTTTCAAAGTAGGTCTTTGAAACACCAAGTAACGTAATTAGGATAAAATTATGAGTCATTAGTTAAACATTAAACTAAATCTAACCTTTATCTGGGTGGTTGCAGGGATATTTGAATATTTGATCTGTTAACTGGTTGATCAGATTTATTATAAGCTATTGCTCTCAAACATCACTGAACAACAGATGATTTTCACTGTTTCACTGATCTGTTTTTGCTGAGAACTACGGGTCAAGCAAAAAAAATAGGTGACATGCTGAAGCTCTAGATGATGTGTTGCTCAGCGGGCTGTGTGGCTGCTCTAACCTGATAACACGGGAAATGAAATGAAAAGCAAGAGGTTATGCAACGCACACTTGCTGCTCACGTTGGCGGTGTGGCCCAGGCGTTACCTGCACGGGCGATTAGTGGAATATGAAATCATTGGAAGGACTGCATATTGCGATGCCTCTGTTCTTGCGCATGCATGTGGACAATCAAAAACATCAACGTGAAAACATTGATCCACGGCATTATGTGGTGGTGATGGTTTAAAAAAAAAACAACCTCCACAGGGCATTCTGAGATACTGTACCTGACTGGATGGTAGTTAAACCTACTGATGCTGCCTGTGATGGCAGATAAACTGTTACTCACAACACAATAAGAGAATCCTGTCAGTTGTCAGGAATATTATAGTATTCATATGTTTTGAGAGCAGCAGTTAGTCTGGCTAAGCTTTCATCAAAGATCTTTGTGCTTATGTGTTTTGATTTCATATTCAGTTTTGCTTGGGCTCTGCTGTAATATGATTTAGCAGTAGCCCGTCAGTTAGAAAATCATCTGAGTGAGCAGCAGTGCCAGATTACATAAATTTCTAAACAGAAACTTCAGCCTGTGATTCATGGGATGTGGAATCTGGAGAGTTATAGATAAACAATGCAAGAATAATTAACATCCAAGCAATGTAACTCTTAATGCAAATATATTTCTCTGTCTTTTCTCTCCAGTGGGAAACCACGGCTATGACAACACCCTACGTAGCATGCAGCCTGTGTTTGTGGCCCGTGGGCCGGCCTTTCGCCAGAAATACGTCAAGACCTCCATGCGCTCTGTTGACCTATACCCTCTCATGTGCCACATCCTGTCCATCCGCCCTCTACCAAACAACGGCTCCCTCTTAAATGTTCAGGACCTGCTGTCTGTAGAGCCAACTCCACCCATGCCCAGTATCCCTACAAGGGTCGACGGGTACTCCTACGCCCCTGTCATGGGTTCCTTCCTCGGTGTGGTGATGGTGCTGGGCTTTCTGGTGGTCTACATCAGACAAGTCACGCTCAAACAGCTGCCCTCACTAAAACACAGAAGCAGGGAGATGTCACAGCCCTTACTGCAAGAGGACTTGCACCTGTAGCTGAAGAAACAGAAATGAGGGCAGGCATAAAAGAAGAGGAGGTATTGCTCCCCAAGCTAGTCTGCTCTGTCCAGAAGCATCCCCTAAACGCCTCCCTTGTATGACATAATGCCATTGTGATGCTCTTTTTATTAGTTGGAGATCAAGGGAATAGAATCTAACCTCCTAATCACGTGTAGAGGTACATCTTTCCTGCTTGAGTGTAAGGAAAATGTCTAGGGTTTGCTTCTGGCACAGGCTTAATAAACCTTTACATGGGCTTTATAGTGGCTTTGCTTTGATTGTGAATTTTACCTAATATCATCTCGCCATTTTCATTGTCATAAGTAAAAAGTTTAAGCTTAAGAGTGAAATATTAACCTGTGATTCTGGCAAGTATGAATGTTTTGATGGCCACAACCACGACTTGGATAACATTAAAGTGTCAGTATGCTCGAAAAAGAACTTTGTTTGCCTGAAGGTAAAAGTGTTTATAGTTTATGGCCACAGTTGTGAAAAGCCGGCCATCATAGGGAGGGGCAAGAAGCAATAATCGTTGATATGGGCATGACTGCGCACACTTTCAGACAATCTTTCCTCGATGGCATTCATAGTGCTGCGCTCATTTGCACATAGGAGAACAGAAGTAATGGAGTGTGAAGAGTAATAAAAGATAGCTTCAGGGAGAAGTTCAAACCCTGCTTACTTTCTCTTCTCTACACACCTAGCCTGTTGTGTCGTGAAGTGGAGGTGATGTTGGATTGTTATAGATATGGAAAATTAAAGAAGTTTTTAGACTCGGCCAACCCAATTCCAAAGCCTCTAAGGAGTGGAGGGGGGAGTTAATATGCTATTCAGTGATCCAAAAAGCCCATTGCTTGAAGCATACTGACACTTTATTACCTGACAGTAACACCGATGGACGGCAGTAAATTTTGTTTATTAAGCCTTGGCACTCGGCCATGTCAGGTTTTTCCACCAATTGTTCTACTTGTGGTCTAAGCACTGAATAAGAAGTTACTTTAAAATAAAAATGCTGATTAATCAGAAAAGTATTCAAACCTCAACTCTTTTCAAGAGATTTACTAGGGTCAGTACTATATTTGAATGTTACTTTGAAGCAGATGTTCCACTGAAGACTCACTCAATGTGCCAGGCTGCTGCTCATTTGTGTAGGTCATTCCATGAGCCAATCACATCACGACCTAGCTCTTTAATAGTCAGTTACCATTTGCCTTTTAACTTAATGGAGAAAAACTCTCTAAGGTGTGAATTGTTTGTGTCAGTTTTTTTTGTAGAGTTTGTGTTTGGAGGGCATTTTCCTAAATAGATGACTGTGTACTGCCCTTCTGTTCATATGTTGTCATAACCATGACCATTTGTTGGTGAAATGTGAACTGCGTTTGCTATTGGTCAGTATTTTGTCATAGGGATTTCTGTTGTTGCTTGGTTGAGAAGACTATTTCAGCATGACTTGCAAGAACTGTTCCCCTGATTTGCACTACAGAATAGAAATGAAACAGAAAGAAGGGGCAGTAGTTGGATGCTTTTTAGGTCATGTTATTATTTGCACTTCTTGTTCGTAGTTACTATTTAAAATGATAAAAAGTTAGGGGCCTCTTGTCAAAAAGCTTTTTAATTAGCATAATCATAGAAAATCAAGTAGAATCCAAATCTGCCAATAAATAATTCAAATATATTTTCGGCATCTTTTAGGAATTTTCTCCTTATGCTTTTAGATGCATTGACTAAAACCTGTGCCCCAAAAATGACAGACATCACTGTGATATATACTTTTTACAAATTCATAAATTGAATGCATTTATATGGAAATTGTTAATTTTCTGATAATTGTCTTGTTATATGAAAGAAGTGTTGTCTGATAATTTCCCCATACCTGTTGACAGAGACAAATTTAAAAACTTCATTTGGGATTGTTAGAAAATAAGAAATATTAGATCAGGTTTATCTCAGTTGATTATTTACTTGGATTTAAAGTATGGATATTTAATATAATTTACAAATTAACTATCTTTGCCATGTTGATGCAATTAGAGTCTTCTGAAATTAAAAGGACTTATGTGAAACTGAGCAATTTGTATTTTCTTTTATTTTGCCTGTGTATGTGCTTGTGTTGCCAGGGCCTTTACGCGTTTCCTTAGTCCAGCCTATTGACAGTATCTCACAAAAGTGAGAACCCCTCACATGTTTGTAAATATTTGAAAGACATTGAGTGCACGTACTCAGCGTCATATCCAGAGGTTGTCTTTGGGAAATAAACAAATGAGTGCTGCCAGCGTTGCTGCAGAAGTTGAAGGGATGGGGGGTCAGCCCGTCAGTGCACACACCATAGGGCGCACACTGCATCAAATTGTTCTGCATGGCTGTCGTCCCAGAAGGAAGCCTCTTCAAAAGATGATGCAAAGAAAGCCTGCAAACGGTTTGCTAAGCAGACTAAGGACAAGGATTACCTGAACCATGTCCTGTCGTCTGATGAGACAAAGATAAACTTATTTGGTTCAGATGGTGTCAAGTGTGTGTGGCAGCAACCAGGTGAGGAGTACAAAGAGGTGTGTCTTGCCTACAGTCAAGCATGGTGGTGGGAGTGTCATAGTTAGGGGTTGCATGAGTGCTGCCGGCACTGGGGAGCTACAGTTCATTGAGGGAACCATGAATGCCAACTGTGACATACTGAAGCAGAGTATGATCCTTTGGAGACTGGGCCGCAGGGCAGGATTCCAACATGATAACGATCCCAAACACATCTCCAAGATGACCACTGTCTTGCTAAAGAAGCTGAGGGTAAAGGCGATGGACTGGCGAAGCATGTCTCCAGACCTAAACCCTATTGAGCATCTGTGGGGCATCCTCAAACGGAAGGTGGAGGAGCACATGGTCTCTAACATCCACCAGAGGAGTGACAGAGGACTCCAGAGACAAACTGAAGCTCTGGTGAACTGCATGCCCATGACAGTTAACGCAGTGCTGGAAAATAAGGGTGGCCACACAAAATATTGACACATTGGGCCAAATTTGGACCTTTTCACTTCAGAGTGTACTCACTTTAAGACGTTAATTTCTGTGTGATGTGTTATTTTGAGGGGACAGCAAAATTTACACCGTTCTACAAGCGGTACACTCACTTTTTTTACATTGTAGCAAAGTGTCATTTCTTCAGTGTTGTCACATGAAAAGATAAAGTCAACTGTTTACAAAATATGAGGGGTGAACTCACTTTGGTGAGATACTGTATGTCCTCACTTTTCTCACATGGTACCTACAAGAGATTCTATTCAAGGCTAAAAATGTAAAAAAAAACAACAAAAAACCCCCCCACAAGATAAAAAAAACAATGAATTAATGAGCATAAATAAGGATTACAAGTTTTTAGCATTTGGGGACTATATGGAAATGATTGGGGTGGAGAAATGGGCACGCTTTGTAAATATTTTCTTTGGACTCCCCTATTAACTTAGGAGGAAAATGCAACACTACCCTCCCCACAATATTGCCAAGAAATACATTTATTCATTTAGCTGACGCTTTTATCCAAAGTAACTTACAACTGCCAAGTGTATGTCTGAGGTCCCATGCCTCTGGAGCAATGAGGTGTTAAGTGTCTTGCTCAGGGAGACAATGGTGGATGTGTCACAGTGGGGAATTGAACCCGGGTCTCTCACACCAAAGATTATACGGCAATCGATCTTGATGAGGAAAAAATCATAATGACCACATTAGGGGTGAAATAAGCCTACACTGTAGACCCAGATAAGTTCAGAATACTCAATATTTGTGGAAACTGATTACCTCAAACTTTTATAGTAGTGCTAATAACTTAATAAACCTTAACTTAAATATAATACATTTATATTATTATTTAATTATTTAATTTCTGCATACTAAATGACATTGATTCACTGATGCTTATTAAAATTAAATTCTTATTCTTTACTCAATAAATGTAATTGTGCACAACTTATACTCTGAGGGAAATCTATAAAAAAAAAAAAAAAGGTATTGCGCTAGACTCAAATACTAAAGGAAACTCACTCAACAAAATTACTCCTAGTCAACTTGAAATTTACAAAATGCCCATTTTCAGACAGTCCTGAAAGATACAAATACAACTCCATTATTACAATTCAAGTTCCTTTTATTAGCATCAAAACCTGAAACATCTTCTGTCATTTCTACATTTAACAGACACAAAATAAGGCACATCTTGCATAAAGCTGAGTTTTAAGTAATAATAACTTGAATCTTGAGCTAAATAAAATTTCCTTTTACTACTTTACTGTGAAAAAAGCGACTATGCATAATTTTATTCCATGAGCAGCACTTTTACTTGGGTAATATAAAGAGTGGCTTTAAATGTGTTGTTTTATGGAATCATAAGCAAAGAAAGATAGCAAATAAAGATTGTTTAAAATAAGAAGTTCCACACTATTCAAATTAAGTCAGGTAGACGAGGTAATGGAACAATATCAAGGTTTCACCTGGTCAAATTTAAGACCATTATGACTGAAATTTAAAACTTATATCACAACTTAAAAAAACGTTTATTTTTTCACAAAATTACTCACAGAGCAAATCAGTGTATTCAAATTAGGGTAGAGTGATGTCTACAAAATTGCCAATGGACAGTGTCAATGAAACACCGGAATGGACGATGACCCAGGGGGAAAAAAAGTCTGTGTCAGAGGAAGAGAATATTTTGGCAGCAAAAGTACGGTGTCAGGTAATAAATGCTTCAGTGTCTCCAGACCAACAAAAGTCTGTTCCCAAATGGCTGGAAAGTGAAGCAGGTTAACAAACATCTCCTGTCAGACTGGAAGCTAACAGAATGTCTTTCAGCTCAATTTATTGAAAGCAACGAGCAGCTGTATTTTATTCCAGCCTACCTGTCCAGCTGAGAGAGAAGAGGTGTTCAGCTCCATCCTGAACACAGACTGAACATCCATGGTGTACCATATATGATCCAGTGGAGTCGCCCCAGTGCTGGCGAGAGAGAATGCAGGTTTGAGGCTTGGTCCGGGAGTCCTCGTACTCCTCCGCCAGGGCGAACAGGTCAGTGAACCTGTAGTAGGAGGAAGTGATATGAGCCGCCGCAGTGATGTGTGTGTGAGTGTGTGCGTGCCTCATTTTGTGGACTTTGTCACAGCTGGTCTGAATGTGCTGCAGAGCCTGAAGGATCTGGGTCTGAGTGAAGACTAGCAGAGACAGACAAAATCAATCAGCTATCAGTTATCAATACCTCCTGAAGCGATCAATAAGCCTGTGTGTACTGACAGTTGTTCTTGGTGTTGCTCAGGCACAGCCTCAGGTTGTCCATGAGCTCCAGGATCTGTTCCAGGTTGAGCTGAGCTAGTTTACAGCCGGAACTGTGAACACTGAGGACGGAGACACAACCGCTGTTCAACAGGTACCCAGGGACCGTCCTCACCTCTGTCCTGTTCTCATCCGTTTGTCCTCACCTGTCCCTGTCTGCGCTCACCTGTCCGTCTGTCTGTCTGTCTTCACCTTTGTCTCTTGCGGGGCTGGTTGTTGTTCTTGATCAGCTGGGCCTTGATTTGTTCTCCCAGCGTGTTATCGTGACTGGATGTCCAGTGTCTCAGGACGCTGGTGGTGAACTGGTCCTTGGGCTGACAGGGACAACTCAGGACCATCTACACCATCTCCTCACTGGGCCTGGGACACAGAGACGTTAACGGGGAGCCAGGAGTCTGTGCGATAACATTGTTATATATTGAGATGACATATGACTTGCAATAAACAAACATATATTGAAGTGTGCATTTTAATTGCCTAGTTGTTTTAAAATCATTTATAGGATTAGAATTTAATATTTTAAATACAGCTAAATGCTGTATGTTTCTACAGCAGCAACATTAATGTTTACATCATAATACTGAGTGACGTACAGAAAGAATAAAAGCTCAGTGTGTATCATTCCTCCTCCCCACTGCTGTTATTTACTGCCTGCAGGTAACATTACCCGCCGCCGACACCAATGCCGCGGCCAGTGGCATACTGGATGGCTCATTATGGCTCTGGGCAGGTGAGCTGTGCTTGGTGGTACCATATGGGCCAGTGAGGCGTTGACTCATCCTGCTCATAGAATCCGGGTTACAGTATGTACCCCCTGTTCTCAGATCTGGACTACAATGTCCCAGAGAGGCTAAAGTTTCTTTAAAACATGGTTTTAGATTTGGGAAAAATGTTTTCTGTTTGTGAAAATGAAAAAAGGTGATAGTTCAATGTTTTTTCACACCAAGTGACCTGGCCTTAAAGCCTTTCGACAACTCTGCCTCTGATTGGTTAGTACTCCACTGATTAGGCTGGTTAAGGTTGGGGTTATGACGGGGTTAGCGTTAGCCAATCAGAGTCTGAGTAGGGGGCAGGATATGAGGCAAAATGTGTTTTCTTCAAATGATATTTGTTGGATGAATGGTTGGGAAAACATATAGTATATGTTATGATTTTTTATTTAAGTATTCCGGTTTTTAGCCTTTTCCTATATGCCATAAGCCTGTATCTGTTTGTCTTGTGTTACCCCTGTAGACATAGTAAACTCTGTGATTATCTTGCATTTTGAGTCTCTGAGTCTGTCAAAGTCCAGAGCCTTCATAATGCAAATAAATAAGAACATATTAAACACATAGTTAAACACTTAGATGCATTGATTACTGTAATGGAATGTAACTGAGTACATTTTGTACTTGTTGTGGAGTATATTCACAGTGTGGTAGTACTTTTACTTAAGTAAAAGATCTGAATAATTATTTCACCTCTGATTATGTTTATGATGTGTTAATACATAATATATACAATATATATACTATGTACTAATTATAGACTTCATCTACAGGCATCAACAGAGAGATTGCAGAACCTCCACTCTCAGTTACATCCAAATAAAACCCAATATTAACACATTAATGCATTGATTCGGCTCATTCACAGTTTGATTTAATATGGTTTCACTCTGTAACAAACATACGTAGCACTAAAAATGCTGTTTATTTACTGTATTTATTATAAGGTTAGCATTATTGCTAACAACCTTATGCCAATAATGCCTCAACAATGGA